TGTTCCAATCGCTTTTGCCAGCAAAACATTCTCAGGTGCTCAATTAAAATACAGCATGTATTTGAAGGAATTTGCCGCTGTATTGTACGGCCTGGAAAAGTTCAAGGATTATCTCACTGATAACCCATTCATCCTTAAAACCGATTGTATGGCTGTAACATATGTTATGGGCTCCGACAAGACTACTGGTATGTTAGCGCGTTGGAAACTACGATTTTCACAATTTCCATGCGAGAAAATCGAGCATTGTAGGGGCACACAAAACATAGTAAGCGACGCTCTAAGCCGGATGTTTGAAGTCAATGAACCACAACAGACTAAAACCCCAGCGCCACAAAGCAACGTTGGCCCCGACCGAGTCAAAGTCAACAAACAACAGCCGACTAAAACTCTCACACCACAAAATGATGTTGTCCCCGAACAAGTTTTCTTTCTACAACACTTCCCTGAAACCTTTGAGTCATTGAGTTCGAAACAACGCGAAGACCCACAGCTCCTCAATATTATAAATAACATCGAAGATGGAATCGACGTACCGAATTATTTTATAAAAAAGGGTATACTACGTTATCAAAAAAACCCCAGAAATCCGTCTAAAATCGTCGTTCCGACTCAAATGAGGAAAATGTTAATGAAATATTTTCACGACATTTCAATATCAGCTCACCTAGGAATAAAAAAGACTATCAGGCGAATCACACGCGAATTCACATGGGAGAAAATTTTCGACGAGGTTAAGCAATTTGTCAGATCTTGTAGCCTTTGTCAGCTGTCTAAACCAGCTCAAGCGCTAAATATTGGCCTGATGAATTCTAAACCTCCCGAAAGATGCTTTGAACGACTACACATCGATACCTTTGGACCATTAATACGAACCGCAAATGGAAATATGTACGCATTAGTTTGTGTCGATACATTTTCAAAGTTTAGTTGGATTATTCCATTAAAGAAGGCAAACACCAAAACAATCATTGCAGCGCTAAGGGAAAAAATTTTCACTCAACATGGTTTCCCAGAAATAATTGTATCTGACAACGCATCCATTTTTAAGTCAGAAATGTTTAAAAGTTTTTTGTTCAGCTTAGGGATCAAACACATCAATACTTCTGTAGCTAGGCCAAACTCAAATCAGTCAGAAAGAGTCAATCGCAATCTGAAAATAGCGTTAAAGATATTCCATTCGCAAACACAAAAACGCTGGGATGAAAATATCGCATATTTAAACATGGGTTTAAATTCAGCCGTCCACGAAACAACCAAAGCGACGCCTGCGCGAATTTTCTTAGGACGAGAAATTAATCATCCATTGCAATTACAGTGGGACATCGATCAGGAAAACGATACTGACGTTACAGAGGATTGTATCGCAAAAATCATGGATAATATTAAATCAGCCCATCGCAAAAGTAGCGCCAGATATAATAAAAATAGGAATCCATCGCCGTTCCAAGAAAACGATTTGGTATTATATAAAAGGTACATACCAAGTAATAAAGCCAACGAAGTATCGCACAAATTGACTCAAACATGGAAAGGTCCATACGTCGTAACCAATGTGTTAAGTTCAGTAAATGTCAGAATTGAATTAGTCGAGGATCCCAGTATAAATCGAGTAGTTCATGTATGCCAATTGAAAAAATATTATCAGCGGTAGGTGGATCGAATCGTATCGTATTGTTTTGTATGTGTTTAAATGTTTAAATGTGGTAACGTAAGAATCTTTATATTGTATTATATAAATATTGTTGTGAAAAATTGGAGTAACAGTGAGTGATTTCCCTGACAGTGAATAAAAATCAATGATGTGCAACGGTGTAAGTGTGCTGGGCGACTCGCAGGCCAGAAGGATGTGTGAAACATGGACTATAGACGACCCCAGTGTTGATCTCAATGCCAGTGGGACCCGAGGCGGTTGGACAACTACAGACTTAAAATCAGCATTAAGACCCATATTGCCTCATCTCCACAAAACCTGTTTTATTATCTGCTCCATAAATGATATATTCAAGAAAGTACCCCCGAATCAAACCAAATCAAATCTTAAAATCATTACAACCCTCATTAAAGCCAGCAATAGAGACATTATAATTTCGACCATTCCCCCCACCCTCAACAGAAACCCACAACATCAAAACCAAATCAAACAAATCAATGTGTTTATACAATCGTTACATAATCCGCCCAGAGTACGAGTGTTACAATTTCATAAACAATTCCAACCGTTAACTACAATAAAGAAGAATGAATACTTCAAACACACTTATAAAAACGGCAGAAGAGATATTGTCCATCTGTCGAGAGAGGGTTATCGCCTGCTTATCGCATCACTGACAACAATGTTATCGCCGCTCTCTGTCTAACCATTGTTGAGCGCCCGCCCCACCCTCCCCAGCTGACAGCACTACTATCGGACCATTGTTGGGTCACTGTGCTACTGATCCACTAGAGCCAATACACCTGTGCCACTACGCTGCCGACCAACAACAATGTACGAGCCCAGCTGTTCACCACCTCGGACAACACGCTCTGCTGATTACCACATGTGGTAAATCATAGTGTCTATTCTGTGCGCGGGATGCCTTTGTGTGTTTAATGAGGAAATGATCAGTTGGTGTCCTTGTCATAAAATAGATCATTGTAATAGTTTAGTATTGTTGTTACCATTATTTAAATTGTTGTTGCCTGATTGTTGTCGTTATTGTTGATTGTAAATTGTAATTGTGTTCACGTGTATCGTCGTGGTCCACCGGCTAGGCCAAAAATGCTCCGAGGTAGTACGATAGGTTTGACTGTCCTGGGCCGATCACGGATCATTTTTTTCTGCTAGGGGGCATTTTGTACCGATTTTGTTGTAAAAGGCAACAAATCAATACAGGTTAATGCGAAGAACAGTCAGCTGGTTTCAACAATAGATCAGTATAGACCAGAATGCACCACGCACTAAAGACGGAGAGGGGATAAGGTTTAGCCGGGCGGCCATCTGTTTAAATCAGTACTCAGTCCTTACCCAAGTCTCATCGTAGCTAGTTCGGTAAAATTGTTTATCGTTCGTGGAAATTAAATTCATTTCGCGGCGTTTGGTCGGCCAATCTTAAATTTCCTTAAAGTCGTTCAGCCTATATCCCTAAGGGATATAATTGCCTCGCGATCGGAAATTAGAATCAGTGTTTTTGTCAAAAAGTGCAAAAGTTCGTTACCGGCCAAACGCAGTCCGCCATTTGAAAATTTCTCAAACGATTCACGAGTTCAATTGATCGCGTGTTGTAGTATACCGGCTAGTTACGTTTTCCCATCCTTTCCCCTTTGTGTTATATTTGTGGACGTTCAAACTGTAAGTAATTTTGTGTATTTATTTGTTAAAATTGAGATTTTCAGTGAGTCGCACTTTGGTAAATTTTCCTGTCTTGTTTTGTCAATTCATGTAGAATAAGCACATGTTCATAGGTTCGATCACAATTTGTCGATTTTTAAATCCATTCATATTGTTGCAATCCGCTTTATTTATTAGACTGTGATATTTCTATAGTATTAAGAATAAATATATGAAAATGTTTTTATAGGGTAATTCAGAGTTGCTTTGTAATATTTTTATATAGTATTTGAATTTTGCACAGAGTCATTATTAAAAGTACAATTCGTTACAGAGTGTCACAATCAGCATTTTAATTTGGGGGAATCATTTAATATCAAAGGAGGGATTAGGTTGCTGGTTCGGCTGAATCGGGAAGTGTTATCGGAGGCTGTGCCAGTTTGCATATAGACGAACCGCCAAAGTGCCAAATTAGCTATAAAACAATAAGCAACGTTCCAGTAAATATTATTACGATTAAACGCAATACTGTTTAATCAGTTGACCTTCGAGAATCGACCTTCATATTTACATCGTTGGCCAACGAACAGGACTTGTTTGGCACTGGTCGTCTCAAATTAAATTAAATACCACTCCTCCGTTGACACCTTCGAGATCGGTGTGAAACCGCGCCAAATATTCCCCTTTGAATAAATCCGTTCAACATTCTCAGACAGATCAATTCCGTCTGATTGTGTCACTCAAGGTCATATTTTTATATTGCACCACACAATCAGAAACTGTCAAACTGGAATCATTGTAAATCTTAAATAATGCTTAATAAATCAAATTGTACTCACTTTTAGTTCTCAATAACCTGGTAGTTCTTTATTATATGCTATAGTATCAAATTGGTAAACAAAAGGTAATTCAGTAAATAATAGGCCACTACAAAAGATTCACCTTTTAAGTGCAACACTAAACACTAGTGTAGTAGTGAGCAAGTAAATTCGGTGTAGAATTAAGACTGGTAAATTGCTCTCATTAAAGGTATTACTTTTTTGGAAGAACTACAAACAGTGCCAAGGGCGTCCCCTAAGGACCTTTTGGGAATATTTATATTTTGCAGGGCCCACTCATATTTTTTCAATAACATCAAGCTTCCACTGCCAAAAAGCTCTGTCTGATATTTTTATTTTCTGGAGTTCTTCCAACCCAGGGGCAACCAACATTTGTAAAGATTCATTTGAGAGCATTGCAAGGAGCAAATATATTTAAATACAATATTTAAATATATAAAAGTAGTAGGAGGGAGTTGTTTTTATTTTTCTTTACATACGGTGCCGCGCTGGGGCTTTGCCCGGGCCTGGCCGCCATTGGCGAGCACCTGTTGGAATGCCTGCCGCACTCTACGTGTTAACTAGGCTTTTGTTTATTCAAACTAGTGCTCTGCCCATGCTTCACAACAGGATGAGGATTCAGGAGAGAATAATTTTATTTGGGTTTATAAACCTACTGTAAAAATCAGTTACACACACACCACACCATTTATAACCGAGGCTAAACTTAATATTGTACTAATTGCTCATTTTAATGATATCCACTCCACTTGACTCTTGGTCTAGTCAGTGCTGTTGCTCAACCACTATTAGACAAATTACTTGTATAAACTTAGAATGTCAATTGATTAAACGCTCTCTTTTTGTTACAGGTGACAAGCAAACTGAAAGAAAAATCACATAAAACAAAATCAAAACCATATTGAATTCTGTGAATTCATCAAAACAATAAATCTACATTTTTACATTACTGTATAGTGTCTATTTTATCCTTCTGATCATAGTTCACCAAAAACAGCTGTTTCAGAATCAATTCAAACTTTGTCTGCACCCTTGTGTGACGCATAGCTGAATATGTACTTCCTACTAGTGCACCTGTTGATCAAATTTGAGTATTACAGGTGTTATTTTAAAACGAATAACAGTCATAATTTCTGATGACTAAAAGATTCGACTCAAAGATTATGGAAATACTCAAGATGTACATAACAGATCGATATAATCACCATTTTGTGTATAAATATCTTATCATTTTTCAAAAGCTGATGATCTTGTTTTTTAGTGTTTTCTACAAATAGCTTTACTCATAGCCGCATTAGGTTGTCCATAATAATAACGATTATAAATTCTAAAAAAACAAAATTATTTCTCTCTCTTCTCCTTGGTGGTGTTCTATGACTTTCCTATGTTTCCATAGTTTGCAAATCGGCTCTTTCAATGATTACTAAGAAATGCAGCACAGTGTTTATTCAGTTTTCTTTTTAGTATATTAAATTATCCAGGCTCTCTCGCTTTTTTCCATTGTAATATTCACGCCAACCCAAATTCAAATAGTAAATATTTCATTTCAGCCAAGTCAGTAAATGTTTGTAGCAAACTGTTAAATTAGCAAACTTACTGTGTTTACAATTGACATATGTTCTTTTTCTCACTTTTAATGTCCGACAACAGCTGGAGTTTCATTACAATGTTTGTTTTCCATGGAAAAATACTAATCTTTACTCTCTAATTATTTCCCTAAATAGTTATTTGTGTAACTAGTGGTGAAAGTGGCACTTTGCTGCACACGAGAGCAATGTTTACGCACTCGCCTGCGGCTCGTGCGGAATGATCTCGAGTGCAGCAAAGGCCTTTTTCACTCGTGTTACACATTATATTTTTCCTACAGTCACTATAAAGCATATAAATAATTAGTCTTTCAAACACTATACAACACGTTTTTAGGTTCAGCTGGCAACACAAATGGTGCCCTAGAGAAAGTAGTACCCGCGGTCCGTATCACTCCGCTATTTTTCCTCAACAAGAAATATGCTACGCGTTTTGAGAATATAGTTCCGTATGTTTTTGTAATTTGAAGTGGTTTCCGTGCCTAAAGAAAATGCTTTAAAGGTATTTTCTTGTTTATTAAGATCGTAGGAAGGTTTTAAAAACGTTTAAAAGAAAAGTCCAGAAAGTTCAGAAATACCGAAACTATAAACACGAAATGACAGGCTAAATCGTAGTTATAATAGTCAATCAGCTGCTCATAGTATAATTATCTTTAAGTGTTGCCAACCTATTTCCAAGCGTACACGGATTACGTGCATAATAGAACCACGCTGTTTTGTGTTGTTTCGTTGGAATCCTGATGTGCGGCAAAGTATAAACCGTACGGCAAAGTATAAACCGTACGGCAAAGTATAAATATGCAGCAATTAGCAGCTTTCTGTACTATAAATAGTACAAGGAAGCCAACTTTGTCGGGTGACTGTAGGAAAAAGAAAGTTTCCTGTACAACTTCATGTTACAGTGTCATGTCCGATGACACCAAAAACATGTCAATCGGTTCAGTAGTTTCGGTGGAGTAATTGTCACAAAAAACCTGCTTGTGTATTAAATAAGTATATAGATAAGGAAAGGTAAACTACTACAGTAAACCTTCAATAGTTCGACACGGGTTGAGCTATTTTGTCAAGTTATTTAATGGTTACTGTTGTAATGAAAGTTGACTTGAACATTAAATTTATTTGTCATTTATTGTTGACTTGAGACTTAACTATTGAACAGTGAAATTGTTAAGCTTTTTTAGTAGGCTACCTATTTAATAAATTAGGGTTATTTCTTTATCGTTCTTACTTTCCTGCATATTAAACTTCATTTACTCCCTATAGTTCAACATCGATATCCCTTAGAACTATCAAGGTTTCACTGTATTACTTAAGTCCAATCCAATTATCATTCTTCATACAGTTTATTGAACCAATAATACACAATAACACTTCATTTTGGAATGTTATATACACATATACAAGCCGTGAATCATTATCTCAGTGGTAGTAAATAGTAAACAAACCAAATCGACAAAATAAACAGTTAAAACAAAACAGTCAAAAAATATATTTATAATTTTTACATTTGATCATTCAACAAATAGACTAAGATCCGTTTGAAAAGAGATTTTTCTAATAAAACTATTGCTCTAAAATTGAAAGGTTTAGCGTATGATTGCACACGGGTAATCTAATTTATACAATATATATTTTTATTCAACAATTATAATTTCATCACATTAAACTAACAAACCGTAACTCTATTAACAACGTTGAGTTTAAATATTTATATAATGTCAACTTATCTGAATTATGTTTTTTAAACATACACTAACAATCCTTACAGTTAAAGAGCTCGCTAAGATGAACGATTATAAACCCATGACAAATGACGGACACCAATAGCTGGATGAACATGATTTTATACGCTTAATCATACACATAGCCACAGAAATGTATTTATTGCAACTTATAACAGGGCAGTGTTATGCAACCTGTGCATTAATATTAAGATTTTTCCTTACGCACATTATGGTAACTTGATACTATAGCAATTGCAAAATTTCCAGCATCAAGCCTACGACTATCTCGTGGCCTGAATGTTATAATGGCACCAACCAAAAAGAGAAAATATTAGAATCTTGTCAATTGATTCAAGACACGTTACAAATGAAAACTCAATTCTTTTGTTACTTTAAGTGAAAAAAATACCATGCAGTGGATAAGCGCATACCATAAAATTCACCTTATGTGAAACATCCCATTTTAGAAACTGACTCTCAAATATATCGGATATAATTTATCAAAACAGTTTAAACAACGGTATTTCTTTACAAATTTGTGCTTTAAAAAAACCAGCTACAATAACCTTGGATGATCATGTATCCCCTCTGAGAAGCTTAACCTTTTTATTATCATCAAAGACTACACAGATGAATACTGGAAGTGGCTAATAATTAAATCACTACTCTACATAATATACAATTAACTTCTGATCTTGGAACACTTAACATTACTTCCGTTCATCTGACTGCACTCTAGACATAAAGGGAAGATAAACAATTGATACAAATTTTTAAAAACTTTCAAGATTTGTACTTAACAAAAATATTGTAATTTTAGAACTTTCCTTGGGATAGAAGGCTTAGGAAAGAGTCTCGTCTTGGCACATGAAACAAAAAAGTTTACACAGTAAGGAAGGAATATTTTTCCCGACCACCATGGGCTTGAATACATTTCTTTCCAACTCAAACTTTCCTTTGCTGAAAACACTGTCAATGATAGTAAAATATTCTTGTTTTTGTGCCTAATTGGACTCTTTCCTGTTCATGTAACCCTGCTATATAGATCGTGTCAATTAGAGTGGCCAGCGGGATGTGCAAGAACCCTTCCCCCACCACTATCGCTTTTTTCGTACAGTCTTCTGAACAATTGATTGCCTTAGGATTAATTGTAATATCCCAGGAATCTAGTAGTGACTCTCAGTGTTATTGGGAGCCTTTCCCTCATTCCCCACACAAGGCATCCGAATTGACACGATTTATAATCTAAAAATTCTTAAAACCTAGGACCTTGTGCCATAAGTTATACACTTAGGAATTTGTTATAAAGAAATATTGACCAGCCAAGACTCAAAATTATTTTACACCAAAGGAATGTGAGGGTAGCAAATAATTCACAAATGTACAAGTTCGAGGGGTAAGTCAGACGCCCGAATGTCCAATCCCGTTCCAACTCCGACTAAGGGGCAGGTAGTCAGCTGTTTATACAGACGCCTTTGTATCGATCATGTCTATGTTGATCTTGTAATAGACGTAAGGGTAGTAGTCTGCTTGGCCGAAACCCAGGCCGGGAATATCCACACTCTGAAATGAAAGTGCAAGTGTCATCAGAAGCAGTTGCATAGTTTAGGCCTTTATCTTTGATAAATGGTGTGACGTAGACTTTCCATTTCCATGTTAAAGCACAGAGAAGTAAGATACAGACAAAACAAGCTTATGGGACAACCATGCGCTTTTAGTTGTGGTATGTTGGGGCAGAAATGTACTTGTACAGAGCAAGGAAGAGCCTCAACAGCAATGGCCACATAGCATTGTTGTACGGCAGTTGTAATGCACAGGGTCTTCGCTGTAGTGTGTGATGGTGAGGGGGAAAAGGAGAGCGGAAGGGGACGATGAATAGAATTTTGTCTATAAACCAGCGACTAGTGCTAGACACCACTTAAGTGTACCATTGAACGTATCCTCTGTATTTTACTTCTCTGTGGTTAAAGTTGTAGCCAGTTTTAGAGTAAAGATAAACATAGATGAATAATTGAGCCACCGACAGTTGCCTGAAGTCAATCACCAATACCTGTTGAATACGGAAAATGTAACCCAGCCAAATTGAAAGGAAAACTTTTCTTAAGCCACATTATCTTTTATGCCATATCTAAGTATAAGGATTGAAAATTGAAACTCGAGAACAACAATTTTTTTAAAAATCTTCGGCAGTAGCGCACAATATAGGCTTTTTCAACTGGATTCAATTTAGAAAATTGGCTACTGCTGGTCCATATAGATGGGATGTTTTATTCAGAATCAAAAAGTCAATGTCTACATTTAGGCTTACCCAGATATGAAATTATTGCAAAGCTAAATAAGAATAAAAATAAAACATAGTAATTTGTCTGTTTTAATTGTCTGTTAATTTTAATTTAAGATGTCAAAATCCTCCTTTATTCACTAAAACTTTAAAGGGGGGGGGGGCTACCTGAAATCCACTGGTTGAGCTCCACCTGAAACTAAATATTGTAGGAAAACTAACCTTGAAAACGTTAAAGATGAGTTACTTTACGTTATTACTAAGCATTTACCTAAGAGTTTTTAAAACCCATTAAGATCTGCTACTTACATCTTGTGCAGCCTGTCCTCCCTGCTGAGCGCTTGAGTCCAAGTGATAATAGAGTTGCTGTAAAGTATCTCTCAACTTCTTAGTGTTCTTCTTGTTGGGATGCAGCAGCATCGCTTGGAAGTTCACGGGCAAGCCGTATCTGTCAGAAATATTTCATAACAAACAGTTCAGGACAGTCAAGAAATCTCTAACTATTTTGAGATGTGGAGGCAATTGTATTTTGATCGAAATATGAATGGAAGATGTGTGCGGAATGATTGAGGTTACTTATGTGGCTTTGTTACTAAAATAATGTTTGGAAAAGTTTTGGTTTTGAGATTTGATCGACGAGTTTCAAGATTTCAAAGTTTCAAAATTGAAGATTTTGGCAGTTTTTTAAATTTAAAAACTGCTGACATTTTTGTTATATTATTTGTTAGTAGGGATGGATGAGATTGGATTTTTAATTCAAGACGAGACAAGACGGGATTATATTATTTCTCATAAAATTTCGAGATGGGATTTCCCTTCTTATAACGGGAGAAGCACGTTCGACATTTTAACCTAATTTTGTAACATTTTTAAGTACGGTACCTACTGATTTATGACATTGATAAAAACATCAGTAGGCCTATAAAAAAACAAATATTAATAAAGCATATGGCCTAACCTTATAAAAAATAACTTCAGCATAGGAAACATGGGGATATCAGTTGGGATATAGTTAAACTTTGAAAAATTCAAAATTTATCAGCCTAAGGGTCTTACTAGTTAAGCAGGCCTATCAAGTAACAATATTTTAGTCTTGTATTATTTTTAGAATGATCCGTCAAATTAATTGAACACAAACCAACTCACCTTAAAACTGACTCGACAAACACCCTCAGGGCTTTGATGTGGATCCAAGCACAGAAGCATTCACTGAAGTTCACTTTGAGCCATCTCACCAAGGGACCCTGAAAAATTGGCATTTCTTTCAATATTAAATTAAAAATTCTCCTGCACTCGGTTCTTCACATTGATAATAATGAATTAACGGTTTCTAAGGTTCAAAATGGTGAAATAAAAAAGACAAAATGTTGGCATTTCAAACTGATAAATGTAAAAATCATATTTCAAACTTACAAACTGTTTTTTCTTGTCTGTAACGAGTTTGGTGATTTCATTCTTGCCAGCAGCGAGCTCCTCTTCATTGTAGGTGAATTCACGAACAACAAACCTAGGAAATTACAAAATACTTTAATTTTATGATTGCCACAAGGTGTACTTTGAATATATTTAGCGCAGAGTAGAGTGAAAAATTTAACTGGAACACAAAACGTAATACAGCATAACACAGATAACATGTTTGTGAACCTCATGTGTCAGCCCTTGGACTCCCAAGTTTCCTCAAGTAAGCTAGCTGAACTTAACCCAACAAAGTTATGCCTAGTACATACTTGTACCTAATACAACCTTTTACTAGGCACTAACTTAAAAAAAGGTCAAACAATTCATTATCAAGCCCTTTGAACAAATTTTAAACTTTTTATATAATACAACCTATGTCTCCATCAATAATTGAGGCTATAGGCCAACGCTACTATAACACTAATATCATCAGCTACTACAGAGTGTTTTCTTGAACATACTAACTTTTTTTCTCGAGCGTGATGTTTGAACTCGTCGACGACTTTCTTGAACAGTGTGACGGTGAACAGGCCGTAGTCATTATCCTGACTGACCAGCTGACTAGACCGGGGCACAATCATGTCGGTCAGCTTCTCGTAAAGGTGGTTCCAGTCGTTAAACATGGGTCTGGTAAAAAACGTAAGTTAGACAAACGGTACAAATAACTAAAATCAATATGTGGCATTGCTATTCAAGATACTAATACTGAGTGTGATCAGTGGTCTGATAATACATTTCAAAAAAGGTGAAAAGAGTCCCTCGACTAAAAAAGTAATTTTTCTGTTTATCTTTTGCCTTCTGTTGCTGGTGGACACTAGGCCTGCAAGTAGTTAGACAGTAAGTAGATAGTGGTGTAGTGGGAATGGCGTTCCCACTCTGCTTTTCCATAAAACCTAAAGTTAGGAATAATGGTTCCCACAGTGGAAATTTTACATCACTGCCTACAGGAGGTCATCAACTAATTTAAATTTACAAATTGTCTAATAGCATTTTGCCTACACTTTAAAAAGTCTCCCATGGGACAACACGTTGTGTGTTTTATGTAGCTTCTGTAGTTCTATGGCCTGGCTAACCTAACATAACCTGTACTTCTAGGGTGAGCGCTACCCATCATCCTACGAATATAAATTGTTCAATAAATAAATCAATTAAAAAGTCAGACAGTAATTATGGCTATTGAATTTAGGCTCTCGGATACGGAGCTATGAGAAGTAAATGCATCATAGTAAGCGGCCATCATAGTAAAGGCTCGTTACAAATATGTAAGGCTACTTACTTTGGGACCACAACCAACAGAGTGGTCAAGTATTCAGAGTCCAAAATAAAATGCTCCTTCTTCACAAGATCAGCCAAGTTACGTGTGAGAAGACTGCCACTGAAATTATATTGAAACAAGATTTAAAAGTTTGATTTAAAATTTATGATATCACATGAATAATAATTATAGATATTCCCATTGCACCCTAAAATAATCTAGATATATATTTATTGTATAAATGTTATTCCTACAACAAACAACCTCTTCGGTTCAGCTTAGTATCATTTAATTGGATCAGGTATATGGCTTTAAAATACAGTTAAATGCCCTAATTTAGTTGTTATAAGCTTATCTCCTTCTATTACAACTATCACACAACATGTGAGGCACACTTTTTTATAATCTATACTTGCATTTAAGTAGTTGTAAGTGAAAGTTTTCTTAACTTAATTTTACCGAATCTTGAAATAACTCTGTAAAATTTAACTTGTGTGGACATCAAGCATATAACTTGTGCGGACATCAAGCAGACAACAAAAATGTTATCCACACAGTGCGACACAGACTATAACTTAACAAAAAACTCACAAACCCTTTGAATGTAGCAGCAATTTTTCAAAGCCAAAACGGGCTGAACTGAAGGAGAAATTAGATTGCTTATTTCCCTATCAAAGCTAACCTACAACTACAATGCCTACTAGGTTATGTCGATTAAGTATTCAAATGCTTTCAAAAACAAAATGCCAAAGGAAAGAAATTACTTTAGAAACTCACGTTTGCTTCTTCTCCATGTTCTGCAGATTGCTCTTCAGATTGTTGTAAGCCGTAGACTTGGTCTTGAGGTCTGCGTCTATCTGGCCGACCTGCTTGCTGATGATATCTGCGATGTTGCGCAACGACTGCTTGATCGGATACTTGGCCATATCCCACTGGAACCGAGTGATGTAGCTCGGCAAATCCGCTACAAACAGAAATTGTTGTAAGTTATCAAGGAAAATTGTGTGTGGCTGGTCTCCAACCAGCAATGTTCGGCTTACTAACTCAGTAACTCAAGATGCTACCACCGAGCTAATGGGTGGACAGGATAGTGACAACAGTTATATTTGAGAGATGACTGCACTAAGGGGGCTCGGCCGATTTTAGGGTAAAAATTTTAGATTTTTATTTTTTGTGTTATTTTTGTTTTAAATTTCATTAGCTTTAAAACGGAATATTACTTTTTTTAATATGTTGTATATTTTTGGAGTTATGGGCAATTTACCAAATCATTACACACGCATTTCCACTCTATTTTACGCTTATAATAGGCCTACTCCAGCACTTTTTACTGTACGTCTTTTAGGTAAGTAGAAGTAATTTAGTTTTCTATGTTGGTAGCCCTGTTTACTGCAGACAATCAGCAGTTGTTTTCAGCTATCAGAATGTTTGTTGATGTTGTGATGTGGTTATGTTTACAAATATTGTGAAGCTCATTGTTTGAGTTGTGAATAACTTATGTTTTAGTTTTTGAGTGGTGAATACGTTTTTTTTAGTTTTTAATTTGCTATTGATTCTGAGTGACAATGCCAAGACTAAAAGTAAAAAAGTGGAAACATCAATTCTATGGAGTCCAAAAACAGAACATATCACTAAGTTCTGATGATTGTCCTAGACCATCTACTTCTACTTCGTCTGACTCTAGGCCTAGCTCTGATGAGGAAGTAACTGAAGGGAAATCAAGTGCCTCAAAAAGAAAAGTACATTCGAACTTGGGTATTTATGATAAGTATGCTGATGATGATAAATGTAATGACATTATTAATCTCAATAGGCTAGAAAACCTCTTGGAAAATATCGCTGTATGTGGAAAGTGCGGTGGGTCACTATCAATTTTGACAAGTGATAGGCTTGGCCTAAGTGTTACGGTAATAATTAAGTGTAATAGTTGTAAGTATGAGGTATCTGCCAAAAACAATGAACATTTGGGTGGTGGAAGGATGGAGGTAAATGTAAGATCGGTGTATGCGTTCCGATGTATAGGGAAGGGGGAACAGGCGGCGAAAACAGTATGTGCCGTTATGAATTTACCTAGGCCTATAACGTTTAAACGCTATAATAAGCTTCTTTGTTCTGCTGCAAAGGAAGTCTGCACTGAATCAATGGTCAAAGCTGCAGAGGAGAGTGTAGTCGAAAATGATGGGGATTCAGATATTACGGCTATTTTTGACGGTTCATGGCAGCGTCGCGGCCATCAATCCCTGAATGGTGTTGTATCAGCAATCGCTGCTAATACAGGCAAAGTTGTAGATGTAAGAATTTTGAGCAAGTTTTGTAGGTGTAAGAAAAGAGTTGAATATGAGCATGACATGGACAGATGTGAAGCCAATTATAATGGTTCAAGTGGAAATATGGAGGTGGCAGGTGTCGTAGATATGTTTTTAGAATCGCAACGCACAAGAGGGGTAAGGTATAAACATTATCTTGGAGATGGAGATAGTGCAGCTTTTCCAACTGTACAGAAAGAAAACCCATATGGACCAGAATGCCAAGTTGAGAAGTTGGAATGTGTTGGGCATATGAGGAAAAGAATGGGGACCCGGCTTAGAAACTTGAAAACCTCGATGGGTAAAAATATACTTGAAGATGGAAAAACTATCGGAGGCCGCGGTCGGCTTACAAATGTTATTATTGATGAGATACAGACTTATTATGGTTTAGCCATCCAAAGGAACACAGACAGTTTAGATAAAATGAAGCAAGCTGTGTGGTCAACCTACTTTCATCTAATGTCATCTAACGAATCACCCGCTCATGGTTTGTGTCCAAAAGGAAGCGATACATGGTGTAAATACCACAAAGCAATGGCTGAAGGTAACCCCTATGACCATAAAGCCCACACTCACCTGCCTAAGTCAGTCATGATGGCAATCAAACCCATATTCAAAGACTTGTCAAACGACCAGCTGTTGAGACGGTGTCTTCATGGAGGGACGCAAAATCCTAGCGAGTCGCTAAATAACGTGATATGGTCGCGCGTTCCCAAGACAACTTTTGTAATGAAGACTACCTTAAACCTTGGAGTATATGAAGCCATAGGAAGTTACAATATGGGAAACATAGTAAAGTGCTTGATTTTAGAAAAATGTGGTGTAGTTCCTGGTTCTAAGTGTGTGCGGGAAATGAGAAAACAGGACGAGATTAGGATTAAAAAAGCCGAGAAAAGTCTTCAAGAAATAGAAAAGAAATGCCGGAAAGCTCTCGCCATTGCTAAGAAGAGGTTGGAGGATGAGTATGAAGCCATGGAAGATCCAGACAACCCATCATATGGTGCTGGAATGCATTAAAGGTAGGTTTGTTTTACTTTATTAGTTTAGGCCTACTAATAAGCTGTTTCTTTGCGTTTCCCCGGAAACGTGTTTTTTTTACCTTAAGGAACATTTTTCTCAGGAACTATAAAAGATATCAAGTTATTTTTTTTTTGTTTTCTTCCTCATGCCACAAAGAATTAAATAAGTTGATAGTTTTCAAAAATATTAAAAGTAACATTTTCAAATATATGCACAAAATTAAATTTAACGTAATTATTTTTACAAAATTTTGAAAAAAATCATAAAAATAAATTCCTACAGATTAAGTAAAAGATTTCAACTTAAATTATGCTTCAAAGTATGAGTAAAAAGATAAAAAAAATTGTAAGATTCTATCTTTATTAGTATTTGAGAAAAATGTTCCTAAAAAGCGCATATTTAACATGGGGAAGATAGGACCGGCCGACCCCCCCTAAGGTAATTTGGATTGAACGGCTGGAGGATGACTGTGGTGAAGACTTACGGACATGGATGGTATTAAAATGTATATAAACAGAGGTGAATGTCGCAAACGGATCAGGTGATGCTATGGAGCCAATGCATTTAATTTAAAATTGTATATTTTACTGTTACATGGTGTGATGCGCACATAGGAATTGGACCAACAATTGATATTGTCTGTTTCAATGTACTGCTCAATCTGTGACTTTCAAAAGCTATGGTGGTTGATAACCTTTTAAAACTTATCCTAAACCTAGAGAATTTCATTGTAAAACTTTTTTAATAAGGAATTTGGTCGGCATTCCAAATCAAACATAAATTACAAGTTCTTCCACAAGCCTGCAGTATAAAGGGGTGTAAATTAGATTTATATTTGTATAACAAAGACTCTCTACGGTGTGTATTTTTTTAAGATGACTGGGGAATGAATGGTAAATGGATGTTAGCTTTGTTTTGACTAACAGCTGTTTCTTCAGCCAAAAGCATTTATTAAAAGCCCAAAGATCTAAGACAGCTGGATCCAGTTTCCAACCGACAATACAATACTGTCTTTTCTCAAGATCAACCCAGCTACCTTCTAGTTAATAGGCAAGCAATGTAACCAACTCGTCTACCCAACCGTGTGTAAAGGTAAAACACTGTATGTTGAGCCTACCATTGTTGGCAGTAAGATTCTCATGCAGCTTGTCTCTGTTATCCTCCAGCACTTCTCCCAGATAGTTGGCAACCTTGTGGGTTACTTGGTCCACGTAATTGTCCAGTTTTCCAAGATCATCGGATAATCCTACAAGCTGGTCAAGTGTACCAACCTGTAAAACGAAAATGTGTGACTAGAACATTTTTTTAAATTTTTGAATTGCCCGCCGCATGAGAGATAAGGTCAGTGGTATGTTCTTAGTCTGCAAGAAAGATATCGGCTGCAAGGACATCAGTGAAGGTAAAGGACTGAAATTGGTTTAGTTTGAGAAGGAATGTAAATATGTCCATTTCAGAAGGAATTGTGTTTTTGGTGGGTACCCAGACTTGTCACAAAATAAAACGGTTTTCACAGTAATTTTTACACTCCCTAACCCATTTCCACATTTTACCTTCACTCACATTACATTAGGGCCCTAACCTTCAGCCATCTGGCGATGAACGTCGTCATCGGATAAGTTTTTTCTGGTCAAAAAACTTATCACTGACCTTATCTTGCAGAAGGTGAGAGATTCAATCATAAACAAAAATTTCTAAACTTGCAGTAAAGCATAGGCCTACACATCAGCTACAGAGCTGCAAATGGTACCATTCTGCTCAATTCTGTAGGTAAGTAATTGTTTTCCAAGGGAGTCCATGGAGGCTAACGGCCATCTTGAATTTGCCTGCCATAAGAGCAAAGTTAATTTACACAGCAGCTGAAGAGTTATTTCAGTTTACCATCTCATAATAATTGTTCAAATAGGTACCAAAGTGATTTACTTTAAATATCTACGGCACTATGAGATTATAAATTGTCTTTGTAGTTTTTTAATTTTTTATGAGTAAGAAATTCTAGGCTCCAAGGACTCTTAACACCAAGTTTAAGAGTTCTTCACTTTTTAACTTGAGTTATTTTCTATAATTTCATGTCAGTCACTTAGTTTTGTTTTTATGTTGAACGAGGAAAATAATCTTATAGGCCTAGGCATATCTTTGTTCTAACGTCTTGTTAAATATACACAGATGCCAATAGGCTGACGACTAAGACTGACCTACAAGGCCAAAATCCCTGACATATAATATTCATACTTAGAACCCATCTAACTAAAGAACCCGTCATAACTTACTACAATGCCCTCTGCATAGGTTGGGAAATATTAACTTAATATGTTCGCTACGTCGCTACCCACATGTTAAAAAATTACATAAATACCGGGTGTGTCTGAAAAAGAACTCCCTAGTTTTGATTTATTTATTTATTGTGCAATAAGTTACAATACTGAAACATTAAATGAAAGGTAATTAAATCAAAGTTAAGGTGTATTAAATAGTCAAATAAAATAGATAAAATATAACAAATTATAAATAAAATAAAATAATATTAAGTGATTAGTGTGTAAATTAAAATAATCAGGTGCATTACCTGATTTAACGCCTAAAATTGCACTGCACAGTAGTAACGGAATTTGTTTCCACTAACCAAATAACAAATTGTGCTTTCTGCTGCGGATTAGCCACTGCACTGACAGCGCTGAGCACTGGATACCGTGTGTGGCAAAACTACGCTCAAGGTCAAACAGGTGTAACAAACTTATTGCCAACATACAAACTAAAACTTACAGAGCACCAACTCTACAGCACCAAAGGATCATTACTCATCCATTTAATACTATCATGAGATATTTTCAAAGCTCGGGAGTTCTTTCTCGGACACCCTGTATAGACCAACTGTCCCACCTATGTGCCACAACAACTTCACCACAGACGGCCGTCCCAATTGTGCGCTGCTCGGGTCAATCCAATAGACCTACGTACCACATGTGTGCCAGTGTCCCTGGCTTATTTTGAAATACATCTCAGATCGTATCGGTCCATTTCTATGCCTTGAAATTTTATATCCGTCTTTAGGGCCATATATGAGACACATATGGTATGCTTGGTCGCCGGAGTTGATGATTGGTAAGTTGGTACAGTACACCTGTTTACGTTTTTATTGTATTTGCTCCCACATGCTGAAACATAGCTGTAGGCCTACCACGTGTTTCTCAGTAAAGTTGAAGTTATGCTGTGTGTATGTTTGTTCTCAACAGTTGTGTTTTTTAGTAGGTTCTTACAGCGTTGGATTTATGGCACAAAAATATGTGACAATCGGTCCATGGTAAAATTTTATCATAGGTACACTTTTGCTAAAGACCGACGGCTCACATACCTATACTGTTTTTTAAATTCGTCAAAAATATGTAAATAAAAGCAATTTAGTAGAAGTAAAAGTTTGTTGTAAGCAAGAATATTGCATATCAATTGATTAAATTTTTTATTAAAGGTTTTTATTTCCGGTCTGAGCTAAGTTACGGACCAATTTACTACCTACAGTCTATCAGTGATGTCCAATATTAGGGTCGGTCATTTTGATTGCTCTACCAGCGCATATAAGCGCCAATCGGTAGTGAAGGTTTTAAACTAAAAAAACGAGACACAGGCCTAACTATTAAGATTTTTGTGTTTTTTTCTGCCAACCTTTAAGTCCGGGATGTGGAACTTGTAGTTGGTAGACAAGCTGTTCTGCTTGCTGGTTACACTGTTTAATGTTTCCCAGGTTTGTTGGCAGGTCTTGTCACCCGGGGCCGAAATGAGCCAATACTCCGTCATGGTCACTAGAAATTGTTGTAATATAAATAAGGGAAATAAAGAATATCATTAATATAATTATTTTAAATAATTTTAGTTGGGTTAATATTGCCAAGCATGGAAGGCTAGCTAGCTAGTAAAAGGTTGTTATTGCCTTTGTTAAAATGTAAGTTAAGAATCGTCATACCCCTAACTTAAGGCGGCACAGATAGGATAAAATCCAATCAGCCTGCATTTATCTTAGTAGCTACCGTACTTAACAAGATGTGGTTGAACTGGTTTGATATAATTTTCAACTCATAGGCTATAAGCTATTATTCATCACAACAGAGCCATCTACGTTTTTACTAATCCAGTTAAAGGCACTCTTTTACTTACTTTTAGAAGAAAGCATTAGGCTACCTACACAACCAGAACAAAGATTGCTTCTTAGTTGAAATGGATGTTTCCAGGAAGAGATAAAACATTTAACAGTAACAGAAGCCTACATTTAGATAAGTTACATGTTAAATGTTAGAACAACATGATAACTTATACTTAGGCCTGCTGGGCCCTAAGTAAATGTATTTTCTTAAAGATGGTGTTAACTAGGCTTTTAACAAATGGACCGACATAATAGGATAGTCGCTCATCTAGATTTAATTTGATAAATTTAAGATACACAGATAAGTAGGGTGTATAACTAATTTGACAAACAACACAATTTTAGGATCAACAAACCTTGGAACAGCCATTGTGAGGCTGATTAAATTTTACTAACATTTGCTTGTATTTATACAGCAGGTAGACTAAACGATTAATAGTAGGCTAGGCCTAAAGCCAAAAACAAGGCTTCTCTGTTTGACATCTTGGTCTAGGCCTAGTAAAAATTATAAGAATATTGATTATAGACCTCGTATTTTATAAGAGTGGCGATCACGTATCTGCTTTACATAAATCGTAAGCCAAAAGAGCAATTATTAAGATAAAACTAAGATTTTACCCATTTTAAAAGGGTTTGGCTTGGAAGTAGGTTAAAGTGATAACTTAATTGTAGGCTGGTTTTGTGGTTAAAAATAAAATATACACTTCTAGAATTACCTGGAAATGTAGCTGTAGAGGGTACCAAAGTTATTTAATGTTAAAGGTGATAATTTGGCGGATTTAATAAAACAACAGATCAACAAACTTCAATAGGAGGGCTGAGATCAAGACCTTGCCATTACTTTTCACGTGATTCGAAGAGCTGTCTGGTGGTGACAATAAGCACGAATCAGCTGACTTTGTTTGACATTTGACTTTTACTGATGGCCAACATGTTTTCTCATAGATTATCATATATGTAATACATATAATTATGTATAATACTTTAAGGAAATTATTGTTAAAGACTCCATTGACTTTGGGTCACAGAGCATAGAATAAATATTTATTCCATGCTCTGTGCTTTGGGTATGATAAGACGAGGGAGTGGGAGTAACTTGTGCCGTGTGTATAATCTCAACACTTATTGGTTGGTCCTCCACATCCTTATTGTGCCGGAATACCACCATTGATTATATCTCTAGCCCTGCGTTGTGAATACGCTCATATTTGCAAAAGATTCGCTCGGTTGAGACAAGCCACGACAAGCGGTTAACGCTCCAGGCTCTGTCGAGTCTTCTGCACTATTGATGACGTCATAACGGCACCTAAAAAAACTCCCAGTTGGCGCTGCCAACCACCCCACGAGTCACGACAAGAGAAAAGAAAAGAACAAGAAGAATCTTTGAGGTTAAAATTTAAGGTTAGGCCCAAGCTTAACTTACAGTTACTACTTACTTTGACATTAAATTTGAAGAAAACTAACAGTGTGTGAACCTACGTTACATATAATAACAATTTACTTAACTATTTTTGTCTGAAAAAGTTTATTTGTTTCCAAAAGTTATACATTTTAAACTAGGTCTTGTCCTAAGATGTCTTGCTTCGCCTCAAACGTTTTAAGCCGGCAATTAATAGCAATCCAAAAAAGAAGCTTAGTAAGAGTACTTAATAATTTCGGTAAGTTTTTATCTTTTGGAATTATATTTAAAATACTATCCTACCTTACCTAACATACCTTTTTGGCTGGACCTAAGTTTAGTTTTATCCTGATTTTACTTAAAAATTGTCTGCAGGAAGTTGGAAAGTTCAACATGGCCACCTCTAGGTAGGCCTATGTTAACAATGAAAGTATTGTTTGTTGACATAAGTTGTTATGGGTTTCAAATTTGATGGATGGAATAACTGAGCCTTAGCGGTCAGTGCAAGTTAAGATTAACACGTTCGCTGCGGGCCATCAAATGGCAGGTGAAGCCCCAGTGCGGCGCAGCCCGCAGCGTCGAACAAACCCGATTGCCACGATTGGCTCTCATATTTCGGTATGACGAATAGCAAATAACGTGCGGTGATGTCCTGTTTTATAACAAGAGTCAACGTAGTTTGCTAAACACTCACAGATAGCAGCACTGCTTGGAACGTAGCCGGTCCCATCGTATTGTCAATTGGAGGGAGAAAGACGGGACAACAAGTTGATTTTTAAGTTTGCCGGACGGGGATTTTATGGGGAAATTTTACTACCAACCTACAACACAACAAAAAGCAAGTCACCCACTACACGCTAACGTGGAATAGGTCTGACTTCGACCGACGCTAGAGCAAAAACGATGATATACGAAAGGCATTGCCGAGCGTATCCGATCGGTTACGGCAGCACCTGAACAGCGCTCGGCCCGTATCCGATCGGATACGCCCGCAGTGAACGTGTTAAGTGTTGATCATCAGACCTATCATCAGCCTAACATTGGTTAAATAAGTATTTAAGTTATTTGGTTATAAAAATCAATTTATTCTAAGCAGGGTTGCCACCCCTCCCGATTCTGTTGGGACAATCCCGATTTTGGTTTTTATGCCTGTAGCCTATTATTTAGCCAGTAATGATGCAGTCCGATTAACTAAACTTATTGTTCCTAATAAGTCGTGTGTGGATTATTTAAGTTTAGGCCTATGTTCATTGCTCGATTTGGGGGTAACACGGTGCAACGGCGTTCCGGTACCGTACCTCTTGTTCAGAATGGTAAAAATATTGTCATAAATAGGTAGCTTACTCATCACATTATACTATAGGCTACAGTTCCGGCAGCTCCTTTTAACGAATTTCCCTATAGGGAAGTAGCAATCAAGTTACTGTAGGTGGCATGGTAAGACCTAGGCCCGGGACCGATTTAATTTTTAATTTTGATGTCCCCAGAGGCCAAAAACACCATTGGTTCGAATTTTTATATAGGCAATATAGTAGGCCCCTATACGTCCGTGAATGCAACTTGAGTAATTGTTGATTGATTTTGATAACATTTGGTTTAAAGGTGTTTTTTAAGGCGGGATAAACTTGAATGCGCTCGCGTACCAGCATGATTTGACCATGGGAACAGGGTTTTACGGGGGGTTTTATTATGGGGTAAAAATTGGTTTTTCTCATTTTTCACTCTCAAAACACAAATTTCCCATTAGACCTTTTCAAAGAGCTTAAAAAACAAATAATTTAGTATAGCCTATTGGAGTGTTTTTGTACAATTATTGATAAGGGAGAAAATTCAAAAAATTATAAATTTAAAATTCCCATGTTGTTGTTATGGAGGATGTAAAATGTCTTAGTTTGCTTGTTTAAGGATATATTTTGATAAAAATTGGCGAATTTATTTATTTTATTCTTAAGCTATTAATAAAATTTTACTTAAAAACACACTTTATTAGGCTAATTTCCTTGTAGCTGCAAACCTAGGTAGGTACTCGTTAAACCTAATTTTATTTAAATAGATTTGATTGAAAATCAAGTCAGACAAATGTAAATTTGCTTAGTCGGCAGGTTTGCTGTGGTGGGGGTATTTACAAATCGAGCGCTGCCTGAAGTTAGTTTTATAACAAATATTTTATTGTACCTCCCCATAGATTAGCTCTTGCATAGCTATTTAGGGCTTATTTATTAGTGAAATTTACTTTTAAGGATATTTTAACTCAGACCTAATTTATAACCACTTTTTTAGGCTACCGGAATTTATATTCGCCGGCTGCCCTAGGAATGGATGGATATTTAAGAACGAGGGAGCGCATCCACACTCAATTCAGTGAAATGGGTGAAAGATTTAGGAAAAAGATGAGGGAGTTTGTTGCTCCAGAATCCGTAAACATGGTCTTTACTGAAGACCTTAAACACATGGTGCATTTAGCTGAAGCTACAGAAGAAGACATGGAACTTATAGAGCAGATGATTATTAAGTACGAGTTGTTGTTTAACAGTTAGAGAATGTAGTTTTTAGACTCCTAGGGATTAGATAAAAATAATTTAGTTTGTGTCTTATATGGACATAACTTATAACTTCTTGATCAGCATTGTATGTGTTATTAAATTACCTGAAAAAAAAAACAAAAAATATATACCTCTAATAACACTAGTAATAATATATTTACTGTTGACTCACAAGACGTGTGTAGGCCTCCTAGTGTTATTAGACGTATATCTTTTTTCAGACATAACTTATGTCTTTTATTTTGATTATTTTATGTAGGTAACATTGTGATAGGTTCTTACCGTACGGTACCTAGAATAGTTTTGGATTTTCTTCTCTCAACTTGAGTTAGGCCTAGACCTATAATTTAATTAATTTACCGTACTAAATATAATTTTAAGGCATAATACATAGGCCTATTACAATTTGCTACAAATTTGATACCTATTTAAAAACTTATTTGATACTTTTAATGATTGTCATAAGTTTCTAACAAAAAACTGACTCTGAATGTGAACCTAATTTTTAATAGTTTAACTTACTTTTTTTGCACTGAGTAAAAACATGAATTTAGTCAAACAACACGTCAACAAGACTTTTGACATGATATGTAATAATATTAAAGGTAGGCTAATATATTTTGGCAATTTATGTTGCCATTGTCAGACCAACTGGGTGTACACTTTAGTTTATACCCCACTACTAATACCTTTGACTATTATACAACAAATACATTACATTAACCACCAGCTGATTATAAAATGAAACTGTTCTAAACTAACCTAACCTAAACAAACATGCTGTATGTAAGTAAATGTGTGGCGTAAACTTGAGTGCAGCCCCAACAGGAGCATCATGATGGTGGACTGTGTTGGTGGAGTAGGCATTACAGCACTAGGCTACAGGACTTCGCTTTCCACAATTCCTTGAGTTCTATTGTAGCTGACATTGAGTTTTTCCTATTTTCTTCCTATTTTGTTTTATAATGTTTTTGTATGTTTTATTTTGATAAACTTAACATGTAAATTAAACTTGAGAATGATGACTACTGGGTGAGTTGATATTCCATCTCTCAAGTATGCCTAGTGAAGGATTTCTTAGCTCTACTATTTTAATTTTGCAGTTTGTTTATCTTATTTTGTAATACTCTTAGGTTCAACAGTCAAAACAAAGATCTTCGGTTTGGCTCGTTTGTTTTTGGACCCGTCATAATGAGGATGTACCATACCCTGAACAAACCCAAAGAAGCGCTAAAGGCAAGTATAATCTGTTAAATATATCATTTTGGCCATGTATCTCACTGGTCTGGGTGAATGCAAAACCTACTCAACCAACTGTAAGGTATTGATGTTTTACAAAAAAGGTTTAAACTATGAACTCAGCCAACAAGTTCATGTCTTTTAATCACCTTGGGTTGTGCCTCATAAACAATGAAGATACAGGGCTAGGGTTCCCAGAGTCCCTTCATAAAAAAAGAAAACAATTATGACTCGCAGAACTTACCTTGGAGGGGGGGAGGGGGTAATCTAAATTTTTTTTAAATTTAGAATTACTTTTATGCTTTTTAAAGGCTTTTAAGAAAGTTTTAAGACTATTTTAAATAGGGACTAGAACTTTCAGCATTTTGGATTTTTTTTACTGAATATTGTCTGACAATTCCTAAAAACGTATAGCCTATATTGTAAGTTTTAGAAATTGTAGCCTAAACAAGAATTTTCGATTTGCTAGCCAATTCTTTACTATCACTAAAATATTTGCCTTTAATTTTCATTCAGGCATGCTTATGTTAAGAATGCTATTGAAAACAATCGGCAACTTAGTCTTTTAACTCCAAAACATTTGTCTGGATTACTGGATCCCCCCTCACTTGATATCAAATTAATGTACACTGGATTAGAAAAATGTTTTGCAAGACTAGGAGTCTTTAAACAACACATTTTTAGTTTAGTGGTACAATCCATGGACTCAAAACTCTGGTGATGTTTTTACTACAACGTGAAATGCAGTTTCTTCAGCAACACGAGCAAAATGATTGAATTGTGTTTTTAAAACTGTCAATATCGGAGGATTATGCAACTGCTTAAAGGTTGGAGTTGTGTAGATTTTTTTAGAACAAGCAAACTTGTTTTGCAACTAACCCCTTTATTAACTTGACAAAAAATAAATATTTTATTTTCGGCATTAGTAGGGTCTAGGAACGTTCAAGAATGACAACACAAGATGTAAGAAAATTATTTTTATGTAGAAGCGTGTAGGAGTGAAAAACGTAAGCAGAAAGTAGACGAGAAGTTAGCTGTAGTTAGATAGTCCCTGGTCTGGATTGGTGGTGAGCAGAGACAGGGACAGCTGGGTTAATTTTGCCAACATTCTTAAGTTTTAAGCACAAAACTTGATCCAAAAAGGAAGCAAAACTTTCAAATATAAGATATCATTACAGTGACACAATATTTTAATTTAATTTAAGTTAGTTTCCAATTGTATTCTCACCCTAGGCGATTGATACTTAGAACAAATTACTAATACTGAGCCTACTATGCGTTAAGGAATAAAAAAATATGGATTTATTATTGAGAACTAGTTTGGTTTAAACCATCAATTTTTTTTCAGGCGCTCGTTCAAGTTTCTTATCAACATACATCAATTAAAAATTTATTTTTCATTTTCTAGATCTTCAAAAACCCTGATGTTGATGGTTTCTTCGACCAAATAGCTTCATTCCAAATATTGATGGATTTGCTGTACAACAATGAAATGTACGATGAAGTCATGGAAGTGATGGATATTGTCAAAAACAAACAACTGCCGGGCAACAGGTATCCAAGAAATGTAGTGGTATTGACTTTTGCGGCAGCGTACAAAAAGGTGGGTACCGGTATTTCTAGAAAGCTAGACAGAAAGTTTGTCTTTTATTTAAATTGGTTAGGTATAGAATAAAATATGTTTGTTCAGGACATGTTTCCATGTTGTCAGCTTCAGGTACTTAGTGGTGGTGTTTTAACACAAAAACATGTCATGAACAAACTTATTGTTTTTGAGCTGTCTGATGAGAATTTTGTGGGTCTAAGTAGTAGTGGGTCTTTCTTTGCCTTCATCTAAGTCAGCTCAGGGACTATAACATGGATTTTGAAACCTTTAATCTACACATATCTTTTAGAATTTGAAATTAAACTGATTTAAGGTTGAATTTCTTATAACTGTTGTTTTCAATTATGGTTAGAACTAGATATCCTATTATGACATCTTAGTAAGAATCGTAGCCATGTAATAGAATACAAGTGAGTTTTAAATTGAACATGATTCTTCTTCTTTGTCATAATCTTCTTATTACTCTATTCTAAATAGTCAGCTGTTAGCAAATAAAAATACTAGTGAACCCGTGTGGCTCAACGGGTCAACCGGCTCAACCCGCAAGATAACATATAAATTTAGAAAACAAATTCATTGTGTTTAGGCTATGTCAAAAATAAAATACAGTTTATGGTCTTAGAAGTAAAGCAGTACAGCCAAGTTATTAGACCTATATGTGAATTTTTTCTGTGCCTTTAACCCTAGGAGTGGCGAGACCAATTTTCAGTATGTGCTTTGTGGAGTGGCAGGCTTATTTTGGTGAATTTGTAAGGGGATTTTTCAAAAGTCTATAAAATTAGTAAGTAGAGATACATTAATGAACTGTATATTCATTTTGCTTGTAATAGTCAGTAGATTTCAAAAATCATTCTTTTAATAAAATGAAACTTTAGAATCTCATCTTCCTATTGGTATAAGAGACATCACATGTTGTTATGTCATTTCACCGACTATAACTGTGCGTAAAATGCAACGGGATAAAATGTTACGATAATCAAAAAATTTTATCGGGTGCCACTTCAGCAACACAATTTAAGATGGACAATTTTTGTCTATTTGCCACTCGTAGTGTTAACTGCCTGTAACTCTTCTCTTGAGTTGTGCATCAATTCCTTCTTCTTTAATGTTTAAGGTCAAAACAGGGTTTACATTGCTTTCGTCAAACAGTCCAATGATTATTCAGTTTAATTGGCTTTAAACTTGTTTAATGTTTCAACGTATTCCTTTGTCTCGTGCCTTTTCCTTTAAAAAAATAATATCAACAATAAAGTACCAAACTTAATAATGAACCAAGTCTTCAGATGTTAAAAACCAGTAGTGTAGGTACATACATTTTTACTTTAAAATTTATATTATTGTTTTAAACGTTCGTTTGAGTGTTATTTGACGACTCCATAATGAATGAAGCATTCTTGTCAGGAGATCACCAGACGATGACTGAATGAATAGGCGAAACATGTCGTGAGTTTGACTACCACATTTTAAACTGTTGACGTAAATAGGGTTCCTAATCAACCATGAAAACCTTAAAACTGGGAATTAGGTCAAGCGTGAAAAAACCTTGATTTAGATGTGAATTTGATTTTGAAACCTGTCTCAATATGTCGTCGCCTGGAGACGACACAAGGGGCGAGTCATGTACAACTGAATGCAGTGGTATCAAGATTGTTCTGTGTGTGAGTGAGAGAAAGAGACAGACAGACAGAGAAAGAGAGGGAGTCTTAGTGCCTCAAAACTCATAGTGGTCTCAAAACTCTAGCCATGGCTTGAATTATGTCCTAGATGTATTTTAAATAGGGAATGGCCGATAACAGAATTTCTCGATTCGATATCAGTTCTGAAATATTACTCACGATTATCGATACCGATTCCATATAAAAACTCATTTAAGAAAGTTGCCATGGTTAATGTTTTGTTATTCGTTTATATTGTTTTGTTGTCCACTTTTGTTTATATTGATTCTGAACCAGACAACCGGCGTAGTTCATGCCGAGCGAAAATTATCCTGCACTCTCAGTTAAATATCGTATCCAAGTCTGATAAGTAAAGGGAATCAGAGAATCGCTCTTGCTTTTCATGAAACGATATAATCGTAAACTGAAAACATCCAAATTCAGATAGCCCAAGCACGGCAACTCTGCTAGAAAATCGAGACGTTGTTATGTTGGTACCACTTAAAGAATCAACAAGCTCATTGGCTGTCGGCTACGAAACCTTACTTGTCTACTGGTTAGAAAAGCATTACATAAAGTTTTGTCATTATTACTTACATTGTTTGGAGACTGTGAAATTTATAAAAGCAGACCGTGAGAACCATGAAAACAACGTGAACTTTGTTGAAGACAAATAGTGGGAACCCTGGTAAAGGTATATACTGTACCTTATTATTTGTCTAATCAAACAGTTCAGGGCTGTCATGAATTTATTTTAGTTGATTGTGAAAATTATACTTTCCAAAGGCATTCTTATAAATATAAGTGTAATTTCAGAATACACCAGAATCCTTCCAGTTTATGAAGGAGTTTTGGGCAGAACTGCAAGAGGCGGGCCACATGGCTATGCGTAGAGCTGTGACGTACTCTGCCGCACTCGCCATCAATCAGGGAGCGCCACACATTGCGCTGGAGCTGCTCTCTAGCTTGTCACGGCAAACCTACGTCACCATCCGGAACCTTAAGGTAAGCGTTGTGACGTAAATAATATATTTATTTTGGCGCTAGATAGAAGAATTTTGTTTGTTCATGGTAGGGGATTGGTTAGGAAGGAATATGAAAGGTTTGATTTGAATTTTTTGGGTGCTTTTCTATTACCTTGCCTACACTAATGTTATTGTAGATGGTTGGGTAGCTTAGGTAATTATAGCAATGGTTTTACTTTAAAACAATGTAACGATCGAGATGATTGAAAAGTACTATCTCATTTTAGCGAATTTCCCTATAGGGAAGTAGCTATTACCGTAGGTCTCATGGTAAGACTTAGGCCCGGGACCGATTTACTTTTTCATTTTAATGTCCCCAGAGGCTAAAAACACCATTCGTAAAAATTTTTATATATGTATATATATATAGGTATATATATATATAGATTTATATATATATATATATATGTGTCCGTGAACACGATAACTTGAGTAATTTTTATCCGATTTTGATGAAATTTGGTTTGAAGGTGTAAGGCGGGATAAACTTGAATGAGTTCGCGATCCAGCATGATCGGACCATGGGAACAGGGTTTTATGGGGGGTTTTATGGGGTAAAAATTGGTTTTTCTCACTTTTTACCCTCAAAACACAAAATTTCTTAATTTTTCTCTAAACCTTCGTAAAGAGCTTAAAAAAACAAACAATTCATTATATCAAAGTGTTTTTGTACGGTTATTGGTTACGGAGAAAACTAAAAAAATGGTAAATTTAAAATTCCCATGTTATTCTTATGGAGAATATTGTAAAATGTTGTAGTTTGCTTGTTTATGGATATATTTTGATCAAACTTGGCAAATTTATTTATTTTATAGTAAGCTATCAATATTTTACTAAAAACACACTACTTTATTAGTTTCCTTGTAGCAGCAAACCTAGGTACTCGTTAAACCTAATGTTATTTAAATAGATCAATTGAAAATCAATTCAGCCAAATGGAAATTCGCTTAGACGGCAGGTTTGCTGCGGCGGGGGTATTTGTTTATAAAACTAGGTGGGTATGTTAGCCTTAGATGCTGTAACCCAGACAAGAGTACAATTTACAATTAGCCTAGTGGGTTAAGATGACATAATTATTATTTTATGCCTCTTATAATTTTTGTTTACGCATCCAAACAAGTTTAAGGTGTCATAGCCCTTTTTGTGAATTTCCCTTTGAGAAGTTAAGACTTGGGACCAACTTAGCTTTTCATTTTGATGTTTCCAGAGGCACAAAAAAAATCTATTCATTAAAAATAGTATATAGCCTGTGTCCGTGAACATAACAGGATGGCTTACAAATCTCTACAAATAAAGTTCTAATCAGCTGATCATTGCAGGTTTCAGCCCTAGCTGATGTCAACAGACCAGACGACGCTTTGCCAGTGTTGAGGAGTGTACTGGAGGAAGACGCCACTAGAGAAAACAACAAAAACACGTTTTGTAGCGATGTGGTAAGATATTGTTGTCTTCTCAATGGTATATTCCAGGATATCTACTTGTGGTTGAATAATACAGATACTGAGTGGGGTGGCTATGAGGTCATTGGATAATACACTACACAGACCTACCCTTTCAGCTAGCTTTCATAAAGTGTTAATGAACATTCAAAACACATACTTTTTGTGTTTATAATAATATTAGTTTTGAGACTTTCTGTGTGTTGGGTGGCCTCAATTTGGGAACACTAAAGATTGCTTTAATTTTTAATTCTTATTATTTCTATACAATGTACTCTCTGTACAAGTTTGGATGAAATATAAGATTTTACTAACCTTTTAATTTCCTAAGTTAAGCTAGCTAAACTCCTTTCCACAATTCTGGATGTAATTTAAAACTATGCAAGTAAAATTTGTTTAGATGACATAACAACGCAGTGCTAAACTCAGTATGTTGTCTCATTATGAAGAACGCTAGGTCATCTCACTGTTCATTTACATAGTAGGTACGTAACTAAGTATGTGTTGATGTTGTGTAGGTTATTACCTAGGTGATTTTACTGATTGCAAATCATTTCAGATAGAGAAGGTGAAAGCTGCTGTCGATAAGAGTGAGAAAAAAGAAGTTCAGCAAGAGTTTGATAGAATACTTCAACAGTTGATTCAAATGGATCTCATAGTTGATTCGGTGAGTGAAAGAAATCATCATGATTACTAAATGAACAAACTTCTTTGCTTAAATTAAGAATAATTGTGCATGATGTATGATATAATAATTGATGCATGAGTATGATTTATTTATCATATATAGGCTATATTATTTAATCACAAGTAATATATATTTATATGATATTCCTTGTAGTTATCGATCCACTATTGTCACAAGATAGTTTGGAAGCTTCTAAGGTTCGAACCCTCGCAATAACTAACGGCTTTTGGCTATATGACAATACCTCACAGCCTACCTTAACCAATGGAGTCACTGCATATTGAAAGTGCATAGATCACAGGCTAATAGAGATTTCTCTATTGACTATTAGTCCACTCCACCAAAAGCCATACAATTATATAACTTACTTATCTATATTTAGTACGCTACATATTTACAAAGTGTGTTCCCGATAAGGTATTTTTGTTTTAAGACTTACCCACACATGCTATGCATCAAAACACGTGTGTGGGTGTGCATATTTGCAGCCAGGCTTTAGATTTTTTAGACTGAAAATGCAAAAGCTTTTTGTTTACATTTAAATTTAAGGTTCAAATGCTTCGCTGTTTGATTGTCTTTTCCACTAAAACTTAATTCTGCTTTTTACTGCAGCTGGGTGTATTATTTTAACACAAAGATGAGTAATAAGAATTTGAAGTTTAAATAGAATTTAATTCTTTTTGAATAATATAAATTAGTATATATATAGAGCAGAAGAAAAATAAAGAGGACTTCCGGCAAAAGGAGAAGAACAGAATAAAAGACTAAACAAAATAATAGAAGACAAAATTAATGCTGAGGATCTAATTTCTGAGATTAAAAAGTATCCGGCATTTTGAATTAGTACAAAGGAAGAAAATGCAAATAAAATTATAAAAATTTCGTGGCAAAGCGTTACAACAAGAATTTTCTTGACTAGTTGTACGGTGGCTATTGGTGGAGTGGCTTGTCAGTTGCCTGTACCATCAACTGCAGTTGCCCGGCCAAGTGGCAGCCACTAGTAACCTCGTGTGTTAGGGCCCTAACAATGACCCATACAAATTGCCACAAATCCCTGTTAGTTATCTTATCACGTTGTCGTGTCATGTTAGTCCCGATCGCTATAGATGACAACAATGTTTCCATGATTGCAAGAGAGTTCATAAAGTTAAAGCCTTAAATTTCTACTTGTGTCGTAAAGATTATCTTTCCGCGATCTTTGCATAAACTAATTACTTACTTTATAACGAGTACTTTAATAACAGGAGGATGGATTCATTCATTGTCGTTGTCTTTGAATTGACAAAAATATTGGTCAATGTTTTGGATGCATTACAGCAACACATCTTTGCGCCTTGCATACCAGCCAGTTATTTAATCACTTTGCAATGCTAATATTTTTTTGTTATGTTTTATTTAGACTTTTCGATTGCTAAAACTAACTAGTACATGTTTTTGCAGACGTTGGACTCCCAGCTGTGTTCGGAGATAGAGAAGGTTACACCTTACCCTCCTCCTAACCAACAATTCAGCCAACGCATGGCTGCGGCCAAGTTCTCAGGGAGGGAGAGGGACAGATCTAGAGGCTTCTCCAACGCTCCTCGCCGTGGGTTGATGGACATGGAGTAACAATTTGTCTAGTTTTAGTGGTTTGTTATTTAGATATGTATTACAATTATATATTCAAATTGTAAGTTGTCTTTTTTACCCTTATCTATTCAAAACTTGTTTGTTGAAGGGTAATTCTTCTGAACTCCACTTTGAGGGGTATGAGTGTGTGCTAGGAAGTGGCTATGAGGTAATTCTGCTAAATCACCTTGGATCATCTGGTATTTTATCAATGGGTTTTTGTCCCTTTTAGATTTAGTTTACTAAATCAGAAATCGTCTTCCTTCCTACTCATAAAATGGTTAGGATTATGGTTGTATTTAGAATAGGTTACTGCTGCACAGTTAGTTGTTCTGCAAGTTTTTGGCATACTGTTTTAACTATAGAAGATTTCCCTATAGGGAAGTAGCTATTGTTGTTTGACTATTTTAAAGTTTCAATTATCCTATCTAAATATTAAAACCAGCCATCACAAAAATGTCTGTCAAATTGCATTCCAGTATAATCTTTTTGCTCATCCAACCATGTATGGACAAATACAAACTGGACAAAAAAACTGATTGCTTTAAATGTTGCTAACAATACAATGGTCAAAAAACATTTCATTAGTCTTAAAACTCATTTCCGGTACTTCGTACTGAAATCAGTAAGTGAATTTAAAAATTTTCTGATTTCTAAACCAATCAGTACGGTACCAAAACACTTCTTATTGCTTTTAGTATTGGGTTGAAAACCAATAATAACTATAGACAAATATTGTGGGGAAAGGATAATAGAAACAATCAAAATTTAAATATGCTTATAATTTTGGTAACACTCATTGACATTCATTTTTAACATTCATTATTATTTACATGCATTATCGACAAACTTTGATTCAGGTAACATGCATTTCTTATATAGGTAACTGAATTAATAAATAATGAAACCATGAAATGTCTATAAATAAAACTCCGGATGATAAAAAGATTATAGTCTAGTTACAAATAAAATATACAAATGTTACAATATTTAAAATATGTTCACATTGCAGAAAAAGAGACAAGTATTTACACGAAGATTGGTAACATGTTTTAGGTATTTCTTTCAGTATGCAGTTGGTGATTCATCGAGGTTTAACAGAACTGTGTTTAACACATTTTGGAAGTCTGAAAAGAACAGAAATAAAAATTAGTAAAATATAAAATAAATCAAATATGAAGGTCGTCAGTAACAGTTTTTTTACATTTACACAAACACACGACCAATAAACACATAGTGCGCACACATATACGGCCGATAAAATATAACATCGAACTCGACAAGCGGACCCTATGTGCGCACTATGTGTTTATTCGTCGTGTGTTTGTGTAAATGTAAAAAACTTACTGACGACCTTCATCTGAAGTAATATCATCCACACACCTGAGGATGGCCTCCTAGTAGGTCGAAACTAGTTGTGAAGACAACAATTGGATTGCAAGAATAAGGTATTTAAACCACTATCACTAGCAAATATTGAATCTTAAATTTTCACTTGAGCAAAGAAATAACAAACAAAGTAAATTGTAATCTTTGATACCAATATAAGCCTATTTGTGAGGCATAAGTTAAAATTTAATCTAAGTTCACTTACTTTTTAACTAAAAGACTTCTTTTCTGAAACTAAATCCAAACTGGTCACATTTCAGCCTCAAGATTCTTGCTAATTGAGGCGGGCCACAGTAAAACACAGTAACTTTTCCCTTTTTCTGATCCAACAGTTGTTTGAAGACTTTGTCCCAGTTGGGTCGGCCGGCGTTGGTTCTTGTTTTTAGGCCAGTTATCAAATCTCTTTTTTCCTGTAAAAGTATGTAACTATAAATATTTTAAAACTATTTAATCTTTTGTGCAAACTAATATAATACTACAAGGCAGAATAAACAAGTGTTACACGAGACCTCGAACAACATTATCATAAGTTATGGTAGGCCCCTACTAGTTGGAAAAATGGCACTTTTTTATTAGTGAATGCCTCAGAAACTATGTATGTAAGCGCAACATATGTCATATACAAAAATAATCTACACAAAATTCTAAACAAGAATTATTCTCTTCATCTTGTTAAAGTGAATGGTTACAGAGTCAGAAGCTTAAAAATGGACATTTTTTGACCATCTTTTAACACTTTAAAAGTGCCGGAGATAGCTAAATTATTTTAAAAAGTAATAAAGATAAAGCTACAAGCCTTGGAACACGAAAGTAATTTAAATTCATTATTTAGTAATACTCTATCTTCTCAAGGGGGCGGCCTGCTAGGAGTCAGAAAAAAATCTTTAAAATAAGCATAGGTTGATATGAAGCCTATATAACACACACACACCGGACATACACTTCGGACCCAAGGCAACGATGTCGTGGGTTTTGATCCTAATCACTGCCGCAAACATTTCATCAATACAGTTTACCTTCGTGTACCGGCTCACCCCTTGCTTTACTGGATACGTTCCACGCACAGGCGGTTAGTCTATGTGGACAGGCAAATGCAAGGTTAATAGAAATTGCCAACCTCTTAAAAAAAAAATCAAGAAATTTTTGAAAGGCTGCCATTTTTAACTCAGTTGCTCGTTTGAGTTTGGGTTTCCGGCATTGTATTTTACTAACAAAGACTTTAATTTGATGCCCATATCAACCTATGCTTACCTTAAAGATTATCTTCTGACTCCTAGCGTGCCGCCCAAATTTAACGAAACATTTAAAAATTAAGTAATTATTCCTAAAACAAGTCACCTTCTCGTGCATCAGATCCAAAGCCAGTTGCAGCCCCACAGCCTTCATGTCAGTTTTCTGAAGTGCCGAGGTAATGTACATGTGCATCTCCAGGAACCTCTCCATTGCACCTCCCAGCTCGGCTTGCTCAATCTCCAACTGGGACAGGAGGTTGACGAACCATTCAAACGATCTCTGGTCACGGTTGATCCAGAAGAAGTCAACCTGAAACGAAATCCAATTGGTCAGACTGGAGAAGGCAAAGTACTATGAAGAAGAACCCATTAGCAGTCTGCAGAAGTTCACAGTGTCTCATCATTGGTATAAACATCATCATTACCGTACCACTTATTTAGCAGCTCTTGTTACTGTGATTTGCTATTGAACATCATTCAGCCTTGTCTCTCGGTAGAGCTCACCTCTTTCACTTGTATTTTGCTTTAGAACTCTACTCATTGCAACAATTTCTCCCTAGACCCCAATTTTAACCTCTTTACCCATTATTATTACAAGATCAAACCAGCTAGTTTTTCCACTCATGCACACTTTTCCTAATAATTGTTAATCCGAACTGAAGATTCATGACCCAAAACATTCCCTCTTGTAAATTCCTAAAAATTCCTCTGGTGAATATAATACACAAAATAAGCCAAACGGTTTCCTCTAAAAACATACTGTCATCTTACGATATTGAATTTCTTACGGAGCCAACAGAGTTTTTTTTGTAAAAATCAAAATGTGTTACTTCAAATGAATGCTATATCAACAATGGGAAACATTTATGGTAAATAACCCAAAGAGGAAAAACATTAGGTGAGTCCATTTTTTGAAATCAATTATATCTGTTAAGTAATAATTTTCCATACCTTTCTGAGGTGCATGATTGTTGGGGGAATTTCGCTAACCCAGGTATGTTTGCAGCTGGGACAGCTATGCCGGGCCTTCCAGTAGCGGTGCATGATGGACTGTAGGATTGACGCAAAGGGGGTAACACCTATACCAGTGGCAATCAGGACAGCATGCTGCGCTCGGAATATGTGGCTGGACGGAGCACCATACGGACCGTCCAGGTAGATCTGGAAAACATAAGGAGTGAATAAGAGTTTCTTTCTTTGTATTTCATACAGAAATTCTTAAATGACAGAAAGATATATTTGTAGCATTGTATATGTTGCTTGAACGGAAAGAAGCATGATCCATATAAAAAAAAAAAAAACATCTGTATAAAAGTAGGAGTTTCTTCTGCAGAAAAGAGCTATTATGGGTCAAAAAACCAATATGGCACTACCAAATTTCCCATAAATATTCCTCAAGTAAGTGTTTTCCAACTTTTTTTACTCTGTACCTTATTACTTTTCACAAGACCAAAATATTTCATGCATCGCTCAGTTATGCATGATAATTACAGTAATATATTATTTGTTATTTTGCTAACCTAACTAACATAAGTATGAACCGGTATGAGCCTTTGTTGAGATTTTATTTTTTCAATTTATGTTAACCTGAGTGATACACCAATTTAAGAAGAATTTAATTAAGCTCATATTTTATTATTTAAAATTGGTTAGTATCAAGATAAACCAATAACAAAATAATATCCTTCTCATTATAATATCTTCATTCTAACGTTCTCGCCTCACAGTTCTTGACTATACGCAGTTACCGATAGGATGCAATCCGATGTTGAAGCACTAGCCTTAACAATACTATATTTAGAACGTCATCTCGTACCACCACATTGGCCTTTAAGTACCACTAATGGTGGTTGGGAAACACTATTCTAGTGAATGTGTATGATTGTGCATTACTCTATGCAGATAGTTGCATATTACATTACTCTGTGTACCAACCTCGAGAGGTTTGCCGACTGGATAGTTGATCTGAGGACGAGGTGAGCCGCTAGAACTCGCTGCTTCATTAGGCGAGGCTCTACCTTCTTCTGCCAACCTCTCCGGGGAACTACCCAGTATTCCACTCTGGAAATGTGTCAGATTTGAGCAAAGATTGCAGAGTTTTTCAACATAAAACATTTGGAGTAATGGAAGATAGTGTGACCCCTCCAATGTCCATACAATGTACAAGAGCAGAAATTAAAAAGCTATCTTATTACCTTTTGAATATTGTAAAGCCAAGGAACTTCTCTACCATTATAGGCTACAATCAGAGTAAGGTTTTTATTTACTTCCCCCAAAATTTAGGATTGTTAAAGGCCTTTCAATGATTCACTACAAACTAGATTTTATGATGTCAGAACTCAAGAGTGCATATTTGAACGGAAAAATTAGTGAAGGATGAGTATTTATTTATTATGATGGCATTTATACTGACCAAGACCAGCTGGTTCTTAAACGAGAATCATTTATCGAAAAGACAATAATGAAGTACAGATATAGATCCAAATGAGAAATTAAAAGACACAATTTTAAATATATATGTAATAACTTGGTAGCTGGGTGGATATACTACTTGCCCTGTATTCAAAAGATTGTCAGTTTGAATTTGATCTTGGTAAATGTCAGAAGATTTTAATGGTACAAAACTAGACCCAGATGCCCACATCATTGGGTATTTAATATAAGGTCCTGGCTTCTCGTTCATTCTCATCCTTCACTCATCTTCAGCTTAAAATACACAGCATCTTAAGATTTTAATCTAATCGGGAAATTTCTTCTTCAATAGCTGAAAAAGGATTAATTCTGTCATTGTAATTCCCCACATTTTGTGCATGTAAAATATCAACTAAACCCAAGAGAAACAACTTTATTTAGGACAGGTTTTGTTCACAATTGTTTACTTGTCACCTTTATAGATGTCTTAAAGACACAACATTCATTGCAGAAATGTTTAAACTCTTTACTAAACTTCTTGAACTCTTAAACTCTGACTTGTCTGCCAATTTCTAGATTGTTCCTTGGAGGTGTACAAAACTTACTACTCACTGTCAAACTGTTTGTTGCGCATTTCAATAATGGACTTTCTTAGGGAATGTAAGTATTACTTGTCTAACTACTACACAAGAATGTTTGTTTTTATCTCATTGTCTACCTGAGGCATTTTCAAAGAAGGTATTGCAGTTACACAAACGCTTTTGCGGCATTCGTTCTAAGCCAATGTATTTTCTGGGTGTGAGGATCAAACTCAGGCAATTTTGAACTCCAAGTCTCTTACCTGTCCTCCTAGGATGCTAAGGGCAGACATCTTTGCCTCGCAGCTCTCCAGGCTGGGTGTCTTGAAGGCTATGATGGTCGGTTTGTTGCGCATGTAGCGGAAACTCTGCGCCAGAGACTTGTTCTGCGGACTAAGGTAGGCCAATCCCAGACTCTGTAATCTTGCTTTTCTTATCTGACACTCGTCAAAACTCTTCTCCGACTCAGACCTCATGAAGTCTCTTAATCTGGAAGTAGTTAAGTTGTTTAGTATCACTGATAAAGGAATCACGTCAACATTTGACAATAGTACTCCTCTGTAAGGTAAACATTTAGAAATGAAATTTTTTTAGAATCACACAGATATAGATTGTCTCAATTAGATGAGTGGCAAACAATATGCACTTGAACACATGAACCCTTCCTTATTCTGTTTCTACAGTGTTTAATGTGATAGTGTAAAATTAAAGTTTTGCCAAATGTGAAGTACTATAGTAATCATCATCTCTATTTGGGTTACTTATGGTGCTACCTGAAAGATTGTTCAACTAAAAATATTATAGCTAAAGGAAACTTCTCATGGCAGGAGTGTAATTTCCAGCTAACCCTGGATTTGATGGCATTCTATGTTGATTACACTAGACTAAATGTTGGTTTTCTCTTTAAACAAATCCTTAGCTTGACAAAATAAAAAAATAAAAAATGAAAATGGAAGTGACAGTACTTACGCTAAAAGTCTTTGTCTCTTTTTGACTCTATTGTCCATGTCAGGCATGGATAGCGACTTTGAGAGCGGGCTTTTGTTGAGAAGAAGCATCTTGTGCAGATTTTGACTTTGAGGACCTTTCTTTCCCGTCAAAGCAGCCAAATCTGAAATAAAGAGACAGCCTTAATTGGGTTGATTCTTGGGGTACATTTGAACGTGATTACACCTGTGGAATGCCTGAAAACGTGAGTTTGGAGCTATAACTTTTTCAAAATTATCCCGGGGGGGACGAACCCCGGACGCCTTCTTTAATGAGGGATATGGAATACCCCCTATACCCCCCAGTGCCCAGGATGAGTGCAAACTTGGAGCTTCATTCATCCCCCCACACAAGCCATGTTCTAGTTACGCCAATGACACAGCTAACTAGGCCACAAGTATTTCAATGTATGGTTAATAATAATATTAAAATACATTTAATAGTGCCAATACAACATACCATTTACAGAGTTGGGGTCAGGAGCAGACATTGTACTATCAATGGAGCCGTGGATGTCCTCACTGCTGAAGCCTTCGTTGGCATAACCAGACTGTTCCCGCTTGAACACAACCATCTTGCCTCGGGCATTGCCAAGAATGTCTCTTCCAGAGAACTTTCGAGTGATTGATCTACACAAGCAGGTAATTACGTCACATGGTAAGAACACATGTTAAAATCTAGGTTGGATGGAAGTGTAAGCTTGTCGGTTCATTTGTTTGCAGGTTATAGGAATTATGGATATTTTAATCTAAAAAGGAAATTTTGAACCAAATTAGATGATGGACCCAGCCATTATTCAAATACCATTGGAGCTACGCTCCATTGACATCCAAAGTTGTGAGGTAAGCTTTTGGATGTAAGTATTAATTATTGGTCTTGGGAAAACCACAATGTTTACAACCTTTCTTTACATTTACTTGTTTAGGTCTATATGTGTATAAAGGTATAATTTAACTCTAGTACGCATTACGCAACAAATTGAAGTAATATCAAGTGATAATTTGTAAAATTAAGAGGTAATTTAATTTTGTTTCTCCGATCAACAGTGAGTGTATACAGGGCTAGAGATATACATATATGTATATCAAGCACGGCTGAAGTATGTAGTTGAGAATATAATCAATGGGTGTATGAAACAATTCAGAATTGACTTACGCTTGGATCCGCTTAAATGCTGGGGTAGATCCAGGTACAGTAGACCCATTGCCTGTTGGAGTCGCTGGAATTATCTTTGGAGTTCCGGGAAGTTGCTGCTCAATGTTGTGAAGTTTCTCTTGTTCTTTCTCAAAGTAGTTGTGAAGTCTATTGGTCCACTCACCTACTCCACGGATATGAAGCCACATGTAACCTATGAATTTTCAATTTCTACATTAATTATGTCCAAAATTTTGATGATTTTATCAGGAACCTGGAGTTAGTACATTTAAAATGTACTTTTGAGACTAATTTACCATTACTAATTTCACATTCATTATTTTACGCTTACATTTTTTATTTTACTGTAGTATTATAGTTAACTAGTGTACCTGTTGCTCAAAATCGAGCAATTGTCAAGTACCTGTATTACCAGGAGTTATTTAAAAACTAATAACAGTCATAATTTTTGATGAGTTTAAAAGACTTAAACAAGCTTAATATGTAACTAATGAAAATAATCACATGGTTCATAACAGTTCGATATAATCAACATTTCTTGTAAATGTTTTCTAATTTTTCAGAAGCTGACATTGTTTTTAGTGCTTTTTTCAAATGTTTTCCAACTCACCCAAACCGCATAAAGTTGTACATGTTTATCTTCATCTTTGATACTGCAGCTTACATGGTACTACCATTATCGCCAGTATGTTTACAAAATGCAATATTTGTTTAAATAGTGATAACAATTGTTCAAATAAGTACCCGATTTCCTGCATAATCTGTATGTCAAAATTTTATTACTTCATTCTTCTTTTGGTTAGTTGACTTTTAACTTTAAAATCACTTGACTTTTATGGAAACATGGATTAAATATCCTTGAAGTACCACTTTTCCTTCTCCTTAGAGGGTTTTCCTCTGCAATTATCATTAAGTAAATGTGTCCTTCAAAAAATTGTAGCACTTCGGCTAACATTTTCATTCATCTACTGAATGATATCTTTCCAATGATCCATAAACTAACAAAATCGGATGAGAAACCAAGGAAGGAGTTCTGCCGTCAAAAATCGTGCTTGCCTATTTTATATACCGATTTTAGTACAGTAGATTCCCACAAGTTCGGCACTCGATAACCCGGCAGCTCAGAAAATTAGTGATTTCTTGAGTCCGAGTTAAAGCCAGTTCAAGTCAAATCACTTGCAGCTCGTACCAAGGATTTGTTTAACTATATCTGATGACATAATACTAACTTGTAATATAAATATAAATAAAAGAGGCAGTTTATAAGCTTAAAAATTGTACTGTTCTTATTTTTAACCCTAGTTCCCGATAACCAGGCATTTCACAAACTTGGCACCCTTCCAGTCCACATTACGTCGAGTTTGCGGGACTCTACTGTATAAAGATTTCCATGGATCTCGTTGTTAGTGATAAAAAAAATATTATTGTAAATGGACATTTATTTTTTTCCTCTCTGAAATCGTGAATGAAATATTAAATATTGTTTTGTCAAAAACTTCTTCCAAAACTGTCTTACAAAGTATCTAAGAACCTTTAAAAAACCCCTATCAGTGAATATAGTAAATAATAAAGAAACAATACAATTGATAGGTAGCTTTACCTTCCTTTCAGATATTTTGTGTATTAATATTCCGAACCAAATTCTTAACCTAAAATGTAGGCTTCGACAGACAAAGTGAACTGTTGAATATTGGTCTTCAGGAGATGACTCTGTAGTGGAACTGGTGAAAATCTGTTGATTTTTTTAACTTTTGCCCTAATGATGGGTTGGTGCAAGGCATCCAAAAAATTGTTAAGTATTTTCTCCAATGAACGACACAAATCATTCTCCATCAATCAAGATTCGACAAATTCATAACCAATTCCATACCTTCTTGTTCAGGAGCTGAGCTGATGGTGAACGGATGCCACTCGTACTTGGCAATCATGGGAATGTTGACAAACACGTAGTCTCCTGGGTGATAGTCGAACTGCGGAGGTCGTTTGATGACAAGATGAGTAACTCTGGAAGGCAACAACAGTCCGGAACTGATGTATGTCTTGCCACGTTCCGATCTCATCCAAATGAACCTGAGCACTCTCTCAATCAGGTAGATGATCCCAGGGATGATGTACCACTTCCAGAAGTTGGGTCCGTGCAGAATCAGCAGAATCCAGAATGGAACGTAGAGCAAGTGGGTCCAATAGAAAATCTGGGGACGAATCGAGCGTGAAAATACACAAATTGAGCACAGGATGAACAGACAAATCGGGTATTGGATGAAAGAAAATACACAAACCTGTGTACATAGAATTACAAAAATGCAAGCAGTAATCTAGCAGTTCTGTCACATGTAAGGCACATGGCAAAGAGGTAATAAGTTCCTGAAATTTATTTCAAGGGTCACTTAGATTGAATGCTGGTGAGGACGGTAAATTTCATCATTGCTTATCTTTATTTTACAAATTTATCTTACCAGATTTGAGAAGATCATTCAGAGGTGTTTAGTAACCAATTATTATAAAACAACAATTTGCAGTTTTTACAAGTGAATATCAATGAAAAGCTTTATACTTAAGTGGTCAAAACTGTATGCCTCTTACTGGTCTTATACTAGAACAACACTTTTTTCATGTCCCACCTCCACATCCTAAACAGGTTCTAGCCCAGAACTGTTTTGCACATTACTTGAGACTAGTCATGGGCATTATCACAATGGATTTAATTTATAAGATAATGCCGCAATCCTCTAGGACAAGCCTGAAGTGATGTGTAAAACAGGCATAGACAAATTTTAAACTAGTACCACTCAAACAAGTAAGGCAAGAAGAAAACATGTGGAATCATACCTCAAAGCAACCTCCTCTCCTAACGAAAGTCTGAGAACAGATGAACATAACCACCAAGATGCAGATGAGAACTACACCTGTCGGGTTGGCAACACCGTCGATGAGTCCAAACACGCCAGGCTTGGTGGTGAACAGCCACTCACTGAGTGTGTAATTGTTGGCATTGACTACTGGGTTGTGTACTACATCCAGGGCTGCAAACATTACAGAGTGAAAACAAATTGTGAAAATATGCAATAAAATCATTGTACTGGATAAACATTATTGGCCACCACAGCATATGATCTACTTCTATCGGATTTATTTTGTTAGCGTCCACATCAGTGACGCGTTGTATGAAAGCAACTCAAAACCTTTTAAGAGAATGCAGTCCAGGCACCTCAAATTTTGCACCACAATTTGTATTCGCTCATTTTATAAGTTAGAACTACTGCTGGTTCATTTATTATACATACTGACTATTTACTGTATAGTGAGTGCACATTTCATCACTCTTTTGCCTGTTAAAACGTTTTCATACCAGAAAATTTGTTATTAGAAAAATAATTAGGGATTTTTTCAAGAATGTTGCCACCATTTTGTTTTTCAGTATGATTATAAATAATAGAACGTAAAACTTAATAATCAGGCAATAGAATTTCACTAAATTCAATATGTAGTTTAGTTTCAAAAACATATAACTGGATTTATTTTCATTTCTCTACATCATGAATTTTTTTATGTCAGGAATAATTTTAATCCGTGGTTTTGTCATTTTCTAATGTCCATGACCCTTTTTTTATAATGACAAATGGATTCTGGGTCCAGAATTGATCCTGATCGAGACTAATATAAACAACTAATAGAAAAAAATCATGTATATAAATCTCTTTGGTGGACACGGACACCATTTAAGGTTCTTTGGGTTCCTCTTCTGTTTGTATGTGTGTATATTGTACTTTTTAAAATCATAATAAACACAATCATACTGCTTGACCCGTTCTAATACATACATTTTCGCAAAATTTGAAAAACTCCATCATATACCTTAGACCTAGTCTTTTTTTTTGTTTCAGACTTTTCACACACTTACAGAAGTTAAGTAGATGCATGATGGTGTGTGTGATGCTGTAGAAGAAGATGAGCACTCCTGTAAGTTTGTGGAAGTAGATGTGCTGATCAAGGGGGAGAAAACTGCTGAAGCCACGAGTCCTGAGAAAAGTGATGCTGTGTCGTAACATCAGCACGAGTACAAACATGCAATTGAAGTTCAGACATTGACCTGTAAAATGATCAAATTAATTTACAATTTGAACTATAGTGCAGGAACTCTTCTGAGAGTAGAGTAGAAGTACAGTAAACACTTGCTAATATGGCTAGTTTGGGGATTTGATGATATGGAAATTGCCGGAATATTACAAATGCCAGATTACTGATTGTAAACAGTCGTTATTACAAAGACAGCAGAAATAGCAGTAACGGCCAGCTATAATTACTTTATTTTATTTACCCAACCCGCCATGTTAAACTTCACTTAGGTGAATAATGCAACTCCCTTCTGCTCGTTGCACAACATTCACGAGCGTGATGTAAAAACACTCTTACTACACTTGTAAGGTAAATAGCTATTTAGTACCTAGTGATATAAAATGCTAAAAATAAAACACTCTTGAATTTTATTGCGTGCAGCCAACGTTTGCTGTTCACTTATGACTCTGCTGATCCCCCCAGACTCTACTTATCTCTCAGCTAAACACACTAATACAGCTTAAAACCACATTAAACAATTTTGTTAAGACCTTTTATACCGGTACCAGAAGTGCTGCACAGTATACATCCTCTCTAAATTAGCTGAACTGGTAAATTAGCTGAACTCCAATCCCTTTTCCAAAAGACTCCCTTATTTTGATTCTTTGACCAATATATATTAACCCTTAATCTTTTAAGGCTGAAAAGCCTTTCATTTGCCTTGAGATTGTACGTGAAACGTATTCAGTAAAGCATGAGATGAGCTGGTATAGTACAAGAATGAACTACGCTGGTAAAACTTAGTGATAGACACAAGGGCGCAAACTCGCAGCATCGCTGCAATGGATTTATAGTCCAGCTACTGATTAAGCCACCAATTCACCATAGCTTAAAGTCAAACATATTAACCTTTAAATATTTCCTGAAGTCAAATCCAGACCCATTCTTACACTACTACAAATTTACAGTCAATTTAATTGACGAAAACAATTTGTTTCCTTATCTCTGTATTGTATTAAATAGCTCAAAAGGTAAAAAGGGTCTTAGATTAAACACTTTATAAGTTTGCGAATAAACAATGCAAATTTTTTGTAATGCATATTACAGAATTTGATGGAAAGGAATTAATAATTTTAAAACTTCTAAAAAATAGCTTGCAGAAATATATTAATTGACAAACATACTAGTAGTTATGTTTACTTACCACATGCTCTGGCAAGGATGACAAGTATACTGGAGTGTCGATATTGATAAGATCTTGATACAAAAAGTCCTACATTAACTAATAGAAAAATAGTGAGGAAACTAAGGTAAACGTAGTTGTTTTTTAAATAAGGAAGAGAAAGTTGATAAGGCTTCAGTGCGCTAATCTTCCCAAATATTGAAGCTGGTGGAGGTTTTGGCTTAGGGGGGACGAGCCATCTATCAATACTGAAACAGACAGAATTGTAAGTTAAAATATTTGAAGTACAATTAAAATATATTTGCTGAACTGGACTCTTATCATCAAGGTTGTGTTATGTCTCTCATGACACCCGATATGTTGGCCTTTGAGACAAATGGTTAATTATCTTTGAAATAAAAGTTTTGCCTTGATAAATTGTGAAGTAAAAAACAACTTACAATAAAATGAAAGCTGTTGTCTCATAAGTGTTACTAGCATACGTAAAGATAAGTACCCATCCTACGTCATGTCCTATGAGTTTGTCTTTCATATTCAACATTCTGTACTATTTTAAAAACATTAGGTGAATTTTTTGCCAGTTAGAGTAATGAAATGAGATTTAATCCAAACAACCTAGGCTTACAAACACAACACACACAAACAAGCTTGTACTAACAGATAAGTAAATGGAAACTCGTACAATGTCCACAGTTTAATAAGTTAGTTCTCATAAACATCCGTAATTGACAATAAATCTCTCACTAACCTAATAGATAGGTTTTCAAGCAGTCCACCATGTTTTTCCATCTGATTTTTCATAGCTTCGTACGTGATGGCACCTCGGTTTTCAGCATCTGCGTCTTCAAACAGAGCCATTGTGAGGTCGTCGATTTGTTCTGCGCTGAATCGTAAATCGTTCTCTTCCATACAAGCCTTGATAACATGCTGAAGTTCTTCTGGTTGGATCAAGCCATCACCTGTGAAAGTGTTAATTTTAAGATTTACAGGTAATAATAATAACTCGAATAATGTCATAGCCATACAAGAGCTATACAAGAGACAAAAGGAGCAACACTGCTGTCCTGTTAAACTGAAACAGCTGTCACACTAATTTATAATGGACAGAACAAAATGTTTATGTTTCCACTTTTGTTACCTATGTCTGTTATTACCATAGCAATAGGCATTAGGTTGCGACGCCGACGCCACACACCAACGCCAGGGCCTTGTGTTAGAGGAGTCTATGATAGTGTTTGTTCGAAATTTTAGAATTGATCAAAACTTTGTTCAATTGATGAATTTCTATTCGCCATCTTTTTAATAACAATAGATTGAAAGGTTAACTTATTGTTGCTTATTGTTGTTGGTTAACTATACTACATTTTGTTGTTGCTATTATCTCTCATAAAATTAAAAGTGAAAATTAATCTCCTATATAGAAGCACACTGTATAAGATGCAAATTCTGGCTACAACTGATTCCAATATAGAATGGAATGTTGACTCTAGTATCACAAGTAAAATTTGATAATATTTATTTTGATAGTTCCACTGTAATTAAAGTTTCTCTTTCGTCTTGAAGTCCATAATATTGTGTTACTTATTTGGTAAGACTTGTAGAGTTGTAGCTACTGACAGGTTTGCTAATTTTTATGTAAAGAGATTTTATTGTAAACCTCTTAATAATCCTCTTTGCTAAACACATTATGTAACAACAAAAAAACTTACCGTCAAGATCATAAACTTTAAACAAAAATCTAATTTTATCATCCGGAGAGTTTCCAGCAAACTGATGCAAGACTTGCAGGAACTCCTGCATGGATATTGATCCAGAGTCGTCTGTGTCGAAAATCTGGAAGACTCTTTCTGTGAAAAATGTCTGGAACAAAAACAATGAAATATTTACATTCATGAAAACTGGCAGAGTAGTATATTTAAAATATAGTATGTAAATAAGTTAGATTAGTTAGTAACAGAGTATTATAAGTGCTTTAATTCTGATGTGAAGTTTTCTTTGGCTAAAAAACTTAATTCGCTTTCAGATGGATGGGCCAAGCATGGTGGACTCCAAACCACAAGGTGCATGGCTTTATCACAGCTAAAAGCAATTCTCCAAAAGCAGGATTTGAACCCTGGAGTACTGTGCCATACTCCTAGCCATTAACTAACACAAATATGCATCTATATATCTTCTGGTTAATGTGCCTACGGGATTGCCAATAAAAGGTTTAAAAATGATTATAGATATTATATTGTACTACTATACTATACATAGGTACTTTCTGATTAGATTATACTCTTTCTGTTATTAGTTTTATTTAGTAGTAAATTAACTAGAGTTATCCTGTAAAGCAGTACTGAGTAACGCTTGCTAAATAAAGGCATTTTTCTTTATTTATTTATTTATTTATTTATTTATTTAAAAGTATGTAGATAGAGGTTAACTGAAAAGAAGACAGCAAGGTCCTCAGATTGCATTAATAAAGAAATAGTTTTATTCACTATGGGTAGGGCCTAGGGCCTACTGGCCTACTTACATTTTTAGTGATAAGAATTTTTTGGAAGGCTTCCTTTTGGATTTCCTCTTGATTGCCTACTGTCTGACGAAACAGTTGCTCCAGCCATTCTAGATTCTTCTTGTCAAATCCGGTTCTTGGTCTGAAAGATAAAACAAAACGATGAAAAAATTTAAAGGAAACATTAGTTAGATGGTTAGAACTACCTGTATTGGTAAAAATAATTCATTGATTTGTTTGCTGAAAAACAAAGAAAACCTTTGTGGCATTGAAATAAAATACTAGAATAACCATGGGGCGATACATGCTACTGCTAGTCCTTTAAACCATGTAAACCAGTTTTTGTCTGATTTTTTATGTAGTACATGTGATTCATGAAGTAAATATATCAGCAATATGATTAAAGCTGATATTACATTGTCAACCAAGACAGCAACGCTTTCATGAATAAGCGTGGGAGTAACTATGGTATTTTATAGGTAAATACCCCCGCCGCAGCAAACCTGCCGTCTAAGCGAATTTCCATTTGGCCGAATTGATTTTCAATTGATCTATTTAAATAACATTAGGTTTAACGAGTTACGAGTAACCTAGGTTTGCTGCTACAAGGAAACTAATAAAGTAGTGTGTTTTTAGTAAAATATTGATAGCTTACTATATTAGAAATAAATTTGCCAAGTTTGATCAAAATATATCCATAAACAAGCAAACTACAACATTTTACAATATTCTCCATAAGAATAACATGGGAATTTTAAAATTACCATTTTTTTAGTTTTCTCCGTAACCAATAACCCTACAAAAACACTTTGATATACTGAATTGTTTGTTTTTTTAAGCTCTTTAAGAAGGTTTAGAGAAAAATTGTGAAATTTTGTGTTTTGAGGGTCAAAAGTGAGAAAAACCAATTTTTACCCCATAAAACCCCCCATAAAACCCTGTTCCCATGGTCCGATCATGCTGGATCGCGAACTCATTCAAGTTTATCCCGCCTTACACCTTCAAACCAAATTTCATCAAAATCGGATAAAAATTACTCAAGTTATCGTGTTCACGGACACATATATATATATATAAATCTATATATATATATATATACCTATATATATATATATATATATATACATATATAAAAATTTGAACGAATGGTGTTTTTGGCCTCTGGGGACATTAAAATGAAAAAGTAAATCGGTCCCGGGCCTAAGTCTTACCATGAGACCTACGGTAATAGCTACTTCCCTATAGGGAAATTCGCTAAAAATCACAAAAGTTGCAATAAATTTTGAATTTTAGTTTTTACAGACAGTAGTACGATTGTACCATTTTGTGTAGGGTTACAAAGACCATAACAATAAAAACCACACTACTATCATTACACACTTTACTAACATTACATTTTAGCTAAATATTAATCATAATTAGTCAAGTGTGTTTTTTAAATCTAATTTCTCAGTTAGTTTAGGGGTTTTTACGGGAAAATCACATAAGCTGCAATAACTTTTGAACCGTAATTCTTACAGTAATGGTGTTGTACAGTTTTGTTAAGAATTAAAAGGGCTTTAAAACACAAAACTTAAATCAAAATAAAAGGTAAGCTAGACACTTTTGCCACTTACTGTTAACCAGGCATCTTTATATGAATCACTTTTGAGCTAGCCTCACATTTTATTGTGTTTTGTGTTGTTACATACAAAGTTGTTGATTATGAATGTAAATGAATATCAGCCTCTGGTCATAGAAAGTAGAAGAGTTGCACATTTCAGCGTACGTGGTGAGGTGTTTGTAGTTCATGATTAATTTGAAAAGCGATAGGTTTATTAGAGTTTCAATAAATGTGGTTTACATGTTTTGTCATCACATTATGTGTAATGTTTACATCTTAACAGCGCTGGCTTGATTATGATGTCCTGAACATATCTAGGACGATACAATTACTGCTGAATACATCATATTCTACTGAAAATTATCATAAAAAATATATTAACAGATTAGTCATGTTCTTTCAACAACAACAACACGTTACTCCTGGTACATGCCCCCCACTTGCATTTCAACCAATCCACTCAGTAAAGCTTATAATAGGAAATGATTCATATTATACATCTGAGTTCCAGGTTCCAGTTTCATAGTAAAATACACGATCTAGGACGTTTTCCCACTTTAGATCAGATTACATTACATTCTTAACGATACGCCTAAAGGTGAAAATTTTAAAGCAAAGACAATTAATTAATTGAGGATTTGTTTTGTGTTGGATGAATGAGATGACGGCTTCTTTACTGGCCCAAGTTTCTTTAAGCCAAGGCCGTGAAAACGTACTGATGCATCCGGGTTTTCAAGCAATCAAAACGCTACTTTATCACAGAAAACGTACTACTATAACGTTATAGTAGTACGTTTTCTGTGACTTTATTTAGCTTACGATTACCAGGAAAGCGCTTTACCCATTCATCTACGCAGCTATTTTAGGAGTAGTGAGTAAAGAGTGAGTAAATTAAGAGCAATGATTGTAATTTTGTAAATGGTAAACATTCACTGCATAAACACAGTTTCAGATTCAACCCCAAAGTCACATAGCTGATCTGAGACATGTCCTCACTCCTCTCTCTGTTAACCTGTCAGGTCAAATAGTTCAGCATAATCTACAAAACTATTTGACCACCGATTACACATATCGCTGTTAAAATCAAGCGACACGCGCAAACAGTTTAGCCCCAGCTGCAATCGTGTCGCGAACCTACTCGAGTTTACTGTCACGTTCTTCTAACAACCTTTTTTAGCACCTGACATTAATTACCCACAAGGCCTAGTAAGGGTAACTCTGCCAATTATTTCATAAGTTCTTTCGGAGCCGAGATTGCATCTCGGAAGCGCCGTTTGGTCAAGACCGGTCGAGCTTTTTGTCTAATCCGTCCACTCTGAGATCGTTTTGCCACAAATGTGGAAATAATGGTTGAGTTTGAGTTCCAGGTATTGGTGGTGTCGATTGTCCAAACAAAAACCAGCTGTTTCCGAATCTAATTGTAAATTTGGATCTTTTTTAAGACTTTTGTGGCACAACACAAGTATTTTAAGCTGTTGAGAAGTAAATGTTTTCAATAAATAGCCTACAGGGTTAGCTCTATGGTTACACAGAGTCATTATTATTGTAAATACTATTTTTATAACGTAAATGGAAAAGTAGTCAAGGAGGAGACGCGAGTCAGCTGTTTAGGGCAATTTATCAGCTGGCGAGTTTGTCCATAGCACAGTGGATGTGTTCGAACACTTGGATTTAAACGCGCACTGAATTTAACAGGGAAATTGTCGACGATTTAAGATCGTCTATGGATATTTGCGATATAATAAGTCTATTGTTTCTTGCGACATTATAATTCACAAAAGCGCTATAGGCAACGCACGACATAACGAAGCTATTGAATTTAATTGCGAAATTTTAAAGTCACAAACACGGCAACAGCGACAACATAACCAAATCGCAATAAAATGTAAAACATGACGTGACAAACGCGTCTATGGTGTTCCGTTCAATAACATTGAGGTTAACAGCAAAGCTTTAACGTTACACTTAATAATCATCACAGCAATGTCTATAATATATAGATTATATATTAAGGTTAACCTAAAATTTTGAACATCACCAAAAGTTAAGTTATTTACACCACAAAAAGAGACGGGTGTCAACGCAAAAGCGTACAGTGCCGAATTTATTACTACGTTTTGACACCACAAAATAGTATGTGGTGATGTGCGAATGCATAATGTAGTTTGCTTGAGATAAAAATGTGTACTTGACGTCAGTGGAAATGTGCGCAAAACCGTGATTGGATTGATTGAACTGCACAATTTTGACGTAAAAAGCGAAAACATGACATTATTCGGTTGAGAATGTGATATTGTGACGTCAGCTGTGAGGTGTAATTGTATGTAGATTCAATGAGGCAATCAGCCATGTATGAGCGACGGCGCTAGCGATCTTGTAGCGATTAATATCACGCAGTAAAGCAATGGGAGCCACTTGCAGACCCAACATCAATCTGACATGGGGAGAGGAGCAATAGATCCTCATGGACTAGTTTGGCAGTTAAAGAATAGACAATTAAGACATGTAATATGTGGACAAATGCTTTACGTTTTTGTTGAGACCTTATAAAATTGTATCTATTACAAATGAAATGCAATGCGAAAAAATGAAAATGAAAATGAATGAAGAAATGAAATGCATCAATTCAAAAATCGTGGGAGACGTAGACCTATGGTCTGATATATAATGACTTGATTAATCCTCATAGACATTTTTTTATATTTCAGTTGAATATACAGTTGAATATTAAGTGTGCAGGTGCTACAATCAATTACGTACAAAAATAGGATTTTTTCATTTTTAGATTTTTTTGAGGCGAGGAAAAATACACGTTGACACGTTTACTTGGCTTGCAGCATGTTGTTTTGAAAATTCATTGCGTTGGGTTTTATACTTCAACATTTAGTTAGTTGTTCTAGAGCCGTCTCCATCCAATGGCTCCATCAACTTGGCCTAACTGCTTTTCGTTATGGTTTTAGTAAATATCCCTATCTAAAGGAACAGCTGATCTAATAAGTACGGCCGGTAACAAAGTTATTATCTCTTTCACTAATTTTCACCTACACAAACATTATAATCTACCAACCGAAACTATAATAGTACAATTCCTTCCATTCGAGTAGGTCTAGCCTCCAGGATCATTTCCCTACCGGGTAACAGACGGACGTCCGAGGAAGGCAGTTCTAATTTACATTCCTAATTAATTGCATCCTGCCGCATAACAAGATAAGGTGGATCACTTGGGTATGGATGCTACTAACACCTGTGCCCTTGTCAGCTTGATAGTAGCTTAGCGTGCTACTAGCCTGCTACTCTGCTAGTCACATCTTGTCAATGGTTTTTGCTCGTGCTTGTTCTACGGCCAGGAACGTTTTCCGTTTCTCCTCACGAAGGGAATCGCTATACATTTCATAGAGGTTGTGTTTTAGGCTCGTTGCGCTTTAGTGTGTGATGTCAATTGTTATGGTGTATGATTGATGTATACGGTGTTTCTCAGCACCACTTTTTGTCAGAGGACCAATTATTAAGTTAGCCATATTTTATTTAAAATTTAGTAACAATTTCAGCTTGGGAATAGAACGTTTACTTTACGTTACTGATTAAAGATAGACTTTAAATACGTTTTCAATCAAAGATACATATTGCTCATAGTCGAATGATTTACTCAAAACATATTCATCTATGAGATCGATATCTGCATGGGGACTTATGAGGTTCAGCGGCTTGGCTTGTATTGGTCTCAGAGGCAGCGAAAAGAATACATTATTTACATTTGCTTAAACGGCAACCGTTTCGTACTTTTAAACAGCTGACTCAAAATAACTGTAATAAATTAGAGTGTTGGTCTTTTTACGTTTATTGCTTTCGAAATCAACCCCGATTTTATAGAAACTGTTCCGAAATCAGTGACACTAAAATACTATAGATACTATACAAATTTATTAAATAGTTCCATATGAAATGAATAACTTTTTCTTGACTTTTGACACACCCCGTTGCGAAAAAGTGTAAAGTGGGTCCATGTGTTCTGACAAAAAATACAAGCTACAGTTCCGTGTTGGCTTCTTTTGAGATTTTCCAGGTTCTACCAGTTTGTGTGGTGTTGTTATGTTTTTTTTGTACTTTTCTACCTGACGATGGAGTGAGATTCCAGATCCCAAACTGCATTGAAAAACTAAGTTTTAAATCACAAAATTAAATTGAAAAGCAGGCCTACTATTACAAATATCTATTACCTGGTGTTTGTAAGGGTTGCCAAAAACTCCATGATTTGTGGTGGTGTGACGATACCATCGGAGTCTACATCTATCAGGCGAAACAGCTTGTCTACAATCTGAAACAGAAAACATCTGATAACGGTGTACAGGAATGTACAGGATACAAACAGCTGATCAGAGCCGTCATGCAGGGACAGGTCTGGTCTTCATCTATATATACCATGTATAAAATTTTATAACGGATGAAAATAACAGAGTGTGAAAATAGAAACGGTAACATAAATAATGTTAAACAAAAGCTATACTCAAATTTAGAATGTTGTTTTAACGTTAGGTTTTGTATACAGCATGTGCCAACGAAAAATTTATAATAATTCATTATTATTACATTTTAGGTGAAATAGATAAATCCAGAATGTAAAGATAGAAACAAATTATTTTGGTTAAAAAAAAGTTATTGCGATTATTGTTATTATTGTTTAAACCCTTGCCATTCAGCCAAGTCATCTATATTTGAAAACGCAGGTAATATCTACAATTTTGACCTATGCTTATTGCTATTACTCACTCATTTGATTAACCGATAGCAATACATACCGTGTACTGTGTTTAATACAGGAGATCGTTGGGCATCATTAGGCATACACTGCAGGATAGCCATATATGAACTAATACAATTTTAGTTCATCTATATGGTATATCATTGGTATTGCTTCGCAAAATCCCAACTCTTTGTTTTAAGATTGAAATTGATAAGTGGTTCGGAAAATCGACAAGCTGCGGCTCAGCTGTGGTTCACCGCTGAAATCAATCCTCCACACACGCATTGAACCCAACACCTTGTGCTGATTTGGTGAGCTTTGGTGATTAAATAATCGTCTATCGCCAGTGGTTTTCTGTACGGAAATTATAATAGTGATCATATTCCTTTTAGCACAAAGTGAGGAAGTTCTATAAAACCTTTCAAAAGAAGCACCCTTTTTGAGGGAGGTAACGTTTTCCTTGTCTGATATAGGTTATTTGTCTTTTATTGTTTCTAGCAAAATATACCTCAAGGTTAAAGTAGACCGAATCCCCTAGCGGAATTATCATCTAGTTAAAAGTAATTGGCGATTGATAGGGTTTGAACCCAGGATTTCAGAACAGAAACTCTGCTCTCTAACCACTAGACAGTAGACACGTACACATTTCACAAGGTATAATGTCTTAATATTATTAGATAAAACCAGTATAAGAAAATATGCCTTTTATGAGTTAAAGTTCCTGCCAGCATTTATAAAAAGTAATCTACTTCTGTTGGAATATTTGTATTGGAATTAGGGTTTCTTCTATAACTGGTTATAAATAAGCTACTTTATGATATGATGTAACTTTAGCTACGTTATAAATAACTGCAGACTTTTATGAGCCTTAGACAATATATAGTAGTTTGAAAATAAACTTTAATTGACATAAAAATTTAAAAAGTTTAAGTAAAATATTCATTTTAGGACAAATAATATTGACTGAAATTTAAACTAAGTAATACGGATTGTAGACTTCAGTCTACAATCCGTATATGTTTCCCATAACCTTACAATACCATGTTTTTGCATTTCTGAAGAATTAATAGTATTAGTAGCCTCGTTCAAATAGCACAAACTATTTTAGTATCAATTGTTTCATTCCATAACAACTACATTATTGAAGACTTTTTAATATTAAAATATTTAATAACTACGTTTAATATTTGAAATATTTAATATTAAAATAATCAAACATGTAGTTACCGAATGAGGCAGAGCTCTGATTTTCTTGCAAGGCTAGTCTGGTTTTCAATGGTTTTAAAATGGACGGTGAAACAACTTTAAAATAACGTTGTAATATAAAAAATAAATGACGAATTCGTTTCGAAAAGTGGTAATATTTTTCAATCGCAATTCGCGAACCTCTCTAACCCAAAGTTGGCTGCAAAATCCTCGACACACAAATCCCAACAGGAATAAACCAAACCCAAACCAATACAAATGGCCTTATTATCAAAATAATCTAGTAAAATCCTCGATATTTAAGTGTTAACATTAAGTCAGTTAAGTTTTCAACAATATTACGGTTTACAAAAAAATCCACAAACTCCAAAAACTTACCACATCAAGTGTATTTCAGATGGCATCCTAACCAAAGAATTTGTCTTCTTACATGTCCAGTAACCTACCCACTACTGGTTCATCTTGCCCAGTTGTAGATAATAACTGATAAGGCTTACTGCAAGGTTAAAAGGTCAAAGGTATAGAATTCGCTACCGTGGTATGGGAAGTATGAGCACTAGAAAAATATGTGTATTTGTTATGAACAATTATAACATAATCATTCAAAAGAGTTTGACCATAGTAAACAGTAGGCCTAAACGTAACAACTGTTATAATAGAAAATAATCATATCGTCAGAGGGCTAAATAAAATCTCATCGAAATAGCAGTTGCTAATTTTTGTGTTTGGTAATGTTAAAAATGTAATGGTGGCTACTGATAATAATTTAATGCGCGATTCTTTAAGAACTTTGTTAATTTAATTTAACATTGAATAATCCTTTTGATCTATGCAATTGAGTGGAGCTCATTGAGATCGGACCTTATGCAACATGTGTAGCCTCATCATGCAAAAAAACCTACTAAGGTTATTTCGATAAACAATGGGAAGGTTTTTAATTAAACTAATAACAAATTGAAATGATCATACAATTAAAAACCTTTTTGTTAAACTGTTAACGTTTAACATTGGGTAAATGGGCCTTGGCGAAACGTAAATATAAACCAAGAATCAGAGCATGTATAACAAAAGTACGGCCTAATATATATATATATATACTTCCGGTTGAAACCCGTTGATCAACGAATAAATAGAAGGTACTGAATGCATTTGGAACCACTGATCATATAAGTACACTATTTTACCTATTATAATTTCCGTTGTATAATCTAAATCAGAACCCAAACAAATAATTATTTAAATAAGTTGTTTAACATAACTTACTAACTAACTATTAAGTCGATGTTTGTCAAAAGCTATGAATAGGTTATTTAAACGGGCTTTTACCATTGACTGGAATTTTATAGTTACTGATCTTGAAACAAGTTTCATGTGGAAATGGTTTAGTGCGCTGATGTGGACTAATGTTTGTTTGTATTAAATTCATTGGGTTGATGGATAATATTGATAGTAAAAAATGGAAATCACAAACAAACGATTTGAATAAGACTTTAACTATTAATTGATTTTTAAATCAATATTTGTCCAACTATACTATTGTAAGAGCTTTCCATGTAAAGTCTGATGAGCCCTGTTCAGACATAAACACTATTTACTGCCCGTATATATTTAAACAAATTTATTTGTATCATCCTTTCAATTTCAACTGGTTCAATGTCAATTGACACTTGCATATTTCAAGATCTTAAAGATGTTAATGAAGTTACTCTTGCATCATCAAAGCAAGGTCTTCAGCTTCAACTATTTAAGTAGAAGAGCTCTTGGCATGTATCAGTAAATGCAACTGTTCGATTTCATTATGCGTATCGCACACCTTGCTCTCAAGAAATTACTGGTTTCTCGCATCTATCTCTGTTGACTTGAACCGTTTTACCTCCTTATTCTCATAAGCCTGTTAAAATAAAAATGTTTACATATTTTGCCGGAAGCAAGTATATGGAGGTTAGGTTAGGTTAGGTACACAGATTCTGACATAAACGACTATTACGGTTAGTTTAATTAGGTTAGTACACATATAGCAGTATTTAAAACACAACATTTTGGCCGGAAACATAAAATGACTGACTAAACTAACCTATTCCTCGTATACTTGCTTTCCGGCAAAGAATTTTCCTTTTTACTAAAGTTACTAATAACCATCAGAAGAATCAACTGTAATATGAGAAAAATTGAAGTTGACCCAGTCTTGGCTCGGAGTTACCAAATATTTAAAATTTTAATATTCCTCACAACAATACGAGAATCTTGAAATACGCATGTGGTCCGTAAGGGGAAAAGATATAATTGTTCACGAAAGATTATCGGTAGACGAATCTAAGGAGCGAATATGTTTATGTAAACTTTAAAAGAAACTAATCTACATCAGGGGGAAACATCACTAAAAAGGGGCATGACAAAACAGGCTTCAAATGATAAGGTGGGATGAGATATCTACTTGCATTATTTACAGCCAATGGAAAAATCTCCGTCTGTACTTACACTCTACTTCACTTAAAGATATTCAGCTTATCATTCATTACAAATTCTCAAACGTACCACGTGTGCTTCGAGAGTATGACATTGATTTCAAACAGTGCAAGTAGACTTCTTACCCTATTGTACAATTTGAAACTAGTTTAAGTACGCTGTTGTCGATATGTTTCTCTTTATAGGGTCGATTACGATTTGTGCATTACTGTTTGTTACAAGAAGACAAGTTATTCATTTACAATTACACTGGTTTCGATATGTTCCTCTTTATAGGATCGATTACGATTTGTACATTACTGTTTGTTACAAGAAGACAAGTTATTCATTTACAATTACACTGGTTTCGATATGTTCCTCTTTATAGGATTGATTACGATTTGTGCATTACTGTTTGTTACAAGAAGACAAGTTATTCATTTACAATTACACTGGTTTCGATATGTCCCTCTTTGTAGGATTGATTACGATTTGTGCATTACTGTTTGTTACAAGAAGACAAGTTATTTATTTACAATTACACTGGTTTCGATATGTTCCTCTTTATAGGATTGATTACGATTTGTACATTACTGTTTGTTACAAGAAGACAAGTTATTCATTTACAATTACACTGGTTTCGATATGTTCCTCTTTATAGGATTGATTACGATTTGTGCATTACTGTTTGTTACAAGAAGACAAGTTATTCATTTACAATTACACTGGTTTCGATATGTTCCTCTTTATAGGATTGATTACGATTTGTGCATTACTGTTTGTTACAAGAAGACAAGTTATTCATTTACAATTACACTGTTGTCGATATGTTCCTCTTTATAGGATTGATTACGATTTGTGCATTACTGTTTGTTACAAGAAGACAAGTTATTCATTTACAATTACACTGTTGTCGATATGTT